TTCCAAAGTAGATATATCGATGGCTCAATCAAAAACTGCCACAAGTCAAAAAACAAAGCAATTACATTTTTGGTTCAATGGATGCAAAATATCATTACGGTTTTACTTTAAATACCACCACAAACAAAAATATCCTTAAAGATAAATCATTTAAAATGTAGCCACAAACTGTGTCTAAAACTGCATCAATTCGAGTTATTTTCTTCAAAAACACCCAAATTTTTTACAACTATGCAACAACTCACTTTTATAATCGTATTCATTTTATTTAACAGCAAAATATCGAAGCTTTTAAATAAAATATAAAGAGTATGTCAAAAACAAAATAATGATAATAGAGACTTACAAAATTTCAAAATGAAATTTCTCGAAATAATAGTATTTTAGTTGTGGCAGTATTTGATTGAGCCATCAATATGTAGATTTTATAAAAAACAACTGGTGTTTTTTAGCAAGATATTCTATTATACTCGAGAGTATCATCTATGATTTCTCTCAACTTTTCTGCTGGGTTTTCGCTTGACTGATGGTTGCATTTCCAGGCAATCTAGCTTGTTGAAGAGAATGAACTGCTTGAATTCTGATATACCTGACATATCATGTACCTATAGATTCACTTTTTATAAAACTTCAGGAGTTATATTCTTCTTTACACTTCTGTAGTATTTACTTTTGCTTCTAAAATTCCTAGAATGTCGAAGGAAACCTAAAAAATAATATTTTTAAAATGTATTTTTAGTTCGATAAAGTATAATTACCTTTTATAAGTATTTGGTGTAAAATGTTGCCGGACATTCGGTTAAATGTTTATCTTCTGGTTTACAACGATTGATCTGCAATTTTTTGTTTTTATTGTAGTTTTTTTTTATTTGGTGTCATCGGCATCGACTGCTAAAGATAGGTACTTAATGAATGAAATAATAAATTTACATCAGGCATTGTAATCTGAAACAAAGACAATGGTTTAGAAAATAGTTATCTATTTTATAGAGGACCCTTACCAAATCTATTCGAATGTATAAATAATAATTATTTATAAAATAAATTCTGGATGTCGAAAAATAAACCATTAAAAAAGACAATTGACAAGAAAAACTGACAAGTGACAATTGACATAAAACTAAACGTTCTGAATTCAGATTTGTAATGTTTACGGTAGGTTAACTAGGTAAATAACAAATAGAAGTTTTGCGAGGTTTTGATTTCCCTCAACAACTTCTCATGAACGTTGCATTTACGTTGTACAGTAATGTTATTACGTTCCCTTAATGCAACATCGCCGAAAGGCTTGGCAACGTTATGTGCTAGCTGGGTTACTACATATAAATTTATTCTTGAGTTTTCTAGGGCTCAACTCAGCCAATGTGCCATTTCCTGAAATAAAAAATAGGCTTGGAATATGTTTATATTTCCATAGAATTACAATATGATAAACCTTGAAAAGAGTTTAACATTTTTCTTTAAATTTTATTTTTTAACCATTCAACAAGTAACAAAATTAGAACAAAATAATGTTTTTAATGTAAATTTTTGCTCTGTTCAAAATAAAATCAACCCACAAAATACCCTATGCCAAAAAAAAAAAAAAAAAAAAAAAAAAAAAACCACAAAATATGTTTCTAAAGTAGGCCTTTGGACAAATGAACGTACCTATGTCGGAGATAATATTCTTATTTTGAAGTGACAATTTGGATTTAATTCAGAGTCGTGCGCAGTTATCACGTACATGACTTGAATATCTGTATTTGTCCGCCATAGCCTACTTTAGAATTTTTTTTTATTACTGTTTATAACATAAGGCTTACCAGAATGCAAAATCCACTTTCGACATCTTTCGGTATTTATAACTGGAAATCTGTATTGTCGAATTTTATTATCTATCCTGCTGGATAGACCACACTTATAATACTGGCACTTATTGCCTGACATCTAAAAAAAAAATCGAGAAATCAATAATAAAAACAATGTATTGTCTTATTAGCAATAAACTATTTTTATTTAACATACAATATTTTTTATAGTAAAATTATGATACAACAGACAAAAAAATTAAAGATTTTGTTCTTAAAAATAGTGTAAGAAATTAAAATTAATAATGAATGTTTTTTTCTGGCCCAATTGATTTTATGTAGACTTACATACTTAGGTCAGACATACTGGGTGTCCCGAAATTAGACGGTCATATTTTAACAGCTTAATCTGCATCCTAAAATAGGAGTAAAAGTTGATATAAACATAGGTCCGATTCGTCTCCGAGATACAGGGTGTTAAAAGTGAACTCGTGATGACACATTTTAGGACGCACAGTTTTCAAAAGAAAAGCATTTGAAAATTTTATGATAAGTTCATATTTTCTTATTGGAAAGTGCAAAAAATAATTAGTAGGCCTGTGGAATCAAAAATTTTATTTTTTCAGCTTTGGAAAACCGGTGAATAAAGAAATTTATTTAGTTTTAATTGATTTTTTTCTCCTACTTTATTGGCAATGAACACAAATTAAAAGGTATTATGTTTAAATGTTAGATATTAATATTATTTTGATTTACATAATCTACCAATAAATCATACACAAATTGATTTCCAGTCGCGAGCAACACCTTAATAATTGATTTTTAAATGTTTATTTTACAAAGAAACTTGTTCTCTTCCAAATGGTTTGGTTGGATTTGACCCAATAAAACGATTGATTAATTTCTTAAAATGTAGACGTTTAAACTATTTATTTAAACTGATTTTAAACTAAGCCCCCCCCCCCTAATTAACCCACTTATTAAGATGATCAAAAACTGGGGTTTAGTCCATTTAGCATCTGTACCAAATTTCACTTAGTTATCTTTAAATGTTTAGAAAAGAAAATATTTACAAAAATGTGTCATCAGGATTTAACTTTTAACACCATGTATCTCGAAAACGAAACGTTTTCGGACCTATGTTTATATGAACTTTTACTCCTATTTTAGCATGTAGATTATGCTGTTAAAATATGACCGTCTAATTTCGGGACACCCTGTATATAAAATACCTTTTTATATTTTTTTAGACATAAAATAAAACGAAACATTACATTTAAAATGTAAGTACTATTTCTCCAAATATATTTGAACCCATTTTAAATGCGAGCATTTCAAAAAGTATTTGAGACATCACTGTCCGTTTTCAATGGAAGCCTCTAAAAATAATTTAGTTTTCTTGGCATATTATGTTTCTTTTGTATTCGAACTTCCGGTTACATCGGAAATATAATATATCTTCATATGGCAAGTTATTTATTTCATGTAGACGGCTTTGTATACAGGGTGTTTCAAAAAGATTGGTAATAAATTATACCACATATTCTTGGGTCAAAAATAGGTCGATTAAACCGTACTTACATATATATTGTATATAGGTAAGTACGTGGTATAATTTATGACCAATCTTTTTGAAACACTCTGTAGATTTAGTTACTCCGAAAGCTTAATTTTCTCTTCCACTGAAAATGTAGCATTTGTAACAGTTTTTGATTTTTTAAAGAAATAATAATTGTTAAATTTCTTAACAGTCACTATATTTAAAATAATAATTTAACTTGAAAAACGGACAAAAATATCTATACAAATTTTATTAATTCAATATGACTGTTCAAAGTGCTGATCTTTTACTGAAACACTGCATATATGTCTTTTTTTTAACTAATACATATAGGTAACTATACTACATTTCTAGAAAGGGAATAGAAGAGTTTGTCTGAAGTATCTAGAAATATATAGTTCTTTCCATTTAAAATGAAAATTTTCCCTTTATCTTATACTTATTTCCGGTGTAACTGGAAGGTGTAGTACATTAACTTCTAATACCTTTTACTATTTGAGATACACATTTAAAATGGGTTCAAATTTCAAATATACCTACTTGGCCACTCCGTATAATTTTTTTATTTGCCTTACTATATTTTTTTAAAACTAATTAAGCCATTTTTATTCACGATCGCACCCATCATATCCCTACTTATTTGTTATTAAATATTGTAGCAATTTGTATAAATAATTTCATTTGAGAACATTTTTATGTACCTTCTTTGGAACAACATATCTACTTAATAGAAAAGTTGAAAAAAGTTTTATATCACGTTTTTTTAGTTAAAAAATGTTTGTGTAAACCGTTCGCGCTCCCCTGAGTTTATGATTAAAGTTTTTTTAGAAACCTATATTTCCTAGCATGTATAAAAAAATTAATTTGCTGCTGCTCTAATATGCAGCATTACAATATGATTTTAATGTAACTTATTTCTTTAATAACTAGATTATTTGCAACCAAACTAAATAATTATTTCAAATTATATCTAGATTAATAAATACCTTTAAGTGAAAACGAGGGTGTTTGTTATTCTATTTTTTGTTTTTTTAATTTCAACGAGTCGTTAATTTGTATGGCCTTTTTTGAAGTAACTATACTTTCTTAAATATTGTGAAAAAAGTACATAAATTTCGCAGAAGGCTCGAGTGATCTCCCACAAAACCCCAATTTCGCAGAACTTAGTTTAAGAAATGCTGCTCTCATGCACAGTCAATAATACATAAATCAAAACACTTTTTAATAATTCAACTACCATATTAGGTATTTAATTTTCTTTGACTGCATATCTTAGGTACTTACTTTAAATATCTTCAAATTTATTTCACACTGTATAATGCGCTTAGCGTCCTTTATTAACAGTAAAATAATTCAGTATTAAAAAATAAACACAACTAATTCACAATATCTACTACCCGTAAACTCACTAACGCACAATAACAACCATTAACAATGAATCAATAAAATTTCATCTAAGAGCTAGAAATAGAAACCCATCAGTCTCCGCCAACCCCAAAAATTTCAGCTCGAGCCTCAAGCTCCGCCCACTGCAAAGGAATATCGACTTATCCATATTCACTAGCGCCATCTATTAGCAGTATCCATTTCGCTCCAATGAAACTTCCATAAGGTGAGACTACTATTTAGTTCTTTATACAATGCCGAAGGTCAACGTTCTGCGTGGAGCGTGAAGGTAGGTCTGTCTGTTTGTAGATTCTCAATAAAAAGTGTAAAATACGTCTTCTGACGAAGTAGTGGTGCAAGTCTTGTAAAATCTGACTAATAGTTTATTTATAAGTAGTAAATCAATTAACTGCGATGCTGTGGAAGGTATAATGGTCAGTTCTCTGCTTTATGTGACCTGTCAATGTTTATTTTTATATTTTTAGACGACCGATAAGACTGACTACGATGTTAAAATCGTCTGTCCAGCATAAGATTCTAAATTATTTACCTGATGATAGACCAATTACTGCTATTCAAGTAAGTACACACATTTATAGGCTTAAAATTAAATAGTGAATGTTCCTTTGACTTTTAGATCGTAGAAAATTTAGAAAAGTGTCCCAGAGGGTTTTTTGCTATTAATAAAACCTATGACCAGGACTCAGACGCTGATCTAAGGGAAAGCTCAATTTTTAAAAGTAGCTCTGCTAGATATCTCTGTTTATCAAAAACTGAAGGTAAGATAAAAAGTTATAGAGGATAAAGCGGAGATGAAACAAATAAATTCTTTTAGGACTGCCAAATTTTGTGGTGCAAGAGATTTTAGTTCTTGGTGATAAAGCTAATCCACCCCAAGGATTCAGTTTACTAAACAGAACTGCTGATAGTGAACAAAAGGCTTGGAAAAAGAAACAAATTTGTTATAGATTAGTAAATAGGAAAGATATAAGAACTGCTGTGACTGATATTATAATTTGTAGTCGACTGAAAAAGGCACCTGCTGGTTTTTCATTTGCTGGGTGAGTCAATTTTCTTGGTAATTTAAGTATCATTTTAAGTATAATTAACATCTATGTTAATCATTTTCAGCTGGTCAAACATGAATAAATGTGTTTTATTAAAATTATTCTTTTCATAACTTTGAACGAACCTAGTCATAATTTGCTATACATTTTTATTATATTAAGTGTTATTTAAGGTCAGAGTCAATGCAAAAAATAAAACATTGCAGTTTTTGTTTGTAGGTACTCGATCTGCACCCAAAATATTTTAAAACCAAAGTCAACATAACATAATCTAAAACATTTATAGTTTAAAAGAATACTTATGTTAAAATATGGTTTATTTTTGAAACATTTATTGTTTATTATTCAAAATACCTATATAGGCACTTTACTTTTCCATGAGGGACCTATAACAGGATTTTATCTGAAATTGACCATACTTGCTAATATTTATATTTGTTGTTTTATGTCACTCTTTGATACCCATCTTCAAGACAACATTGTTAATGTATAAGACACATTTAAAGTATCTGATAACATTTTTGTTTATAGTATATAAATGTTTTTCTGAGTTTATTATATCTAAAATTTTCAGCCTAAAAGTTACTTAAAAGTTTATTTTACACATACATATAGTTTCTCCTAGCAGATAGAAAACATTAAATACTCCATTTATTGTATTTGAAAATACTATGCTGTTTATTGCTATTATTTCTAACTCAGGGAATGTGTACTAATATGTAAAATAATATATAAGATTATTGCTAACAAAATAACACATGTTTTCATTACCTTAATTTAAATGGGGTCATATAAGTAAACAAAAAAAAGAACCGTTAACTGTATCCTGCTTTTCTTATTGTATTTAAAATTTGCACTTAAACTGTAATTGTTGTAGTTCATTCAAGATGTATATTATAACTGTTTGCTCCAATTGTACTTAATTAACACTTTTGGACAGTGTGTTAAATTGGAATACATAATTTAACAATGACTAATTTAAAATAAACAAAACTTTTACTTGCAAATTCTTTATCAACTGATTTAATTACCTTCAAATATATCTTGCTAAATTAGTTAAGTAGTGGATTCATAAAAATTAGAGCAAGTTTCCTATTTAAAACCAAAATATAAGAGGATATAGTCTGTTTTTAAAGGTAGACAATTATTGCTAAAATTTTAGTTATTTGTTTTTCAAGTAATAGTGCTTGATAATTTAATCTTTACTATTGACCTTATATTGATTTTTTACACTGAAATTATGAATAGAAGATTTGCTTTTACAATTCCTCTTAATATTTGAAATTTACTTTTTCATTTTAGAAACATACATCTATGTAAGTAGGTAACATGTGAAAATTTATTTTATCCGGCCCATAAAGTTACTCATCTGACTGCAAAAATTGGCACATTATGGCTTGTTATTTGTAGCTGGGTACATGGGGGGGGGGGGGTGAAAAGTTGTATGTATGAAGGCTAGAGATATTTAAAATATGGTCCCAAAAATCACAAGTCAATTGAGCTTTTATAATTAACCGCATGGGCGCTGGTATGGTTTACGTAGTTCAAAATACATGGCTTCTTATGGGAATTATACATAATTTTGTCAAAATAATAAAAATAAACTTGTTTATAGCTAAATAAAGCACAGAACATAGTGTTGTATTTATTTCTAAATAAGTCTTACATATTTTAATTGATACATTATTTACTATTTATTCCTATTTAAGTGAAATGCAAATTATTGATGATAAGTGTTGAAATTTGATGGGTAGGGCTAATTATTTTTAATTAAAGCTAAATAGGGCTGAGGGCATACTAAGACACAGTTTCAATGAAAATATTTAGTTAGGGATTTTACAAAATTTTATGAAAATAATAAAAATAAAATTGTTTATTGCTAACCAAAGCACAGAAAATACTGTTGATTATAATTATTGTAAATAAGTCTTTGTTTTAATTGCTAACTAAAGTACAGAAAATACTGTTGGTATTAATTATAAATGAGTCTTTATGTTAAAACATTATTTATTATTCATTATTTAATTTTATCTAAATAAAATGAAAATTAGGTATGACCAAATTTGAAAAGTTTTGTTAAATGGTGAAATTTGGTAAGAACAGTTTTGTGGTAATTTTGTATTCGACAACTACAATTTCATCATGCTGGTGAATAGTTTCTTCAGCAATAGGTTCTAGTATTTTCTTCCTTTTTTTTATTCTAACAAATTCAGTTCGGTTCAATGGTGGTTTTCGTCTTTTCCTAATACTGGACAAGTATGAAGGGAGATTCGGGAATATACATGGTATTGCTTCGTTCTTTAATCTCGACCTTTCCCTTTTTATTTTGTTAACAGTACCATTAGTTAAAATAGTCTCATCAAATTTTAAAATATCATGCATCTTCTAAAAAAGTGTAGCTCGCAAACAGAATCATAACTAGACAGTACTTTATCAGCCCTAGGAATCACGTGCTGCCATTGTTCTAAACGTTTAGGATCTTATAAAAATATTTGCAATGACTAAATTGGAGTTCAATAAAGAAAAATAACAGTAGTAACTTTTCATCTAACATCAAGAAACAAAAAAAAAGCAAATTTTCTTTTCTAGTAAGTTAAATTTAATGTGTAATTATTGTTGTTTGTAAGTCAGGATTTATGACTTTATTATTTTTTATTATAGAGTTTTGTAATTAAATAAACTACACTCCGTAAGATACGGGTTGTGACTATTTTACAATACACATATATTATTTAGAAATAAATACATTATTTTACTTACACTAGGAGCTTTAAAAAGACTTGGATTTTTATCTCCTTGTGTTTTCTTTAATTTTATATCGGATTTATATCCCGTTTTTCAACCCGGAACGAAGCAAATCTTACTTGGCCGTTTTTTTGTTACTCTTTGTTACTTGTATTCAGGTTCTTTATTTCAGCTAATTTTTATTCTTTTCACTAAATTTTACAAAAATCCCTTTAATTCCCATTGACTTGCATAGAAAATAGACGTCGTTATTTTGCCACCCGCCAACTACAGTAGTTTTTTGGGACTCCACAAAAATAAGGACTGAAATTTGACCAAGGCCGATTCGCCTCCTTATCTCTAGTCTTGATACTTGTAGAAGCGGTCGAATGACATTTGAAATTCAAAATAAAGTTGCTTATTAATGGATTTTTTCTGGCATTGAAATATATGCTTCTAAACGTCAATAACAATAAAAAAATCCCTTTGCAAGGGATTTTAGCCACGAGACCAGATATTTACGTTTTTTAACGAATTTCGTGATGTAGCATGATATAGCTTGATAAAATTGTAAAATCAGTACCAAAGTCAAGAAGTGGTTCAGTTGCTCTCAAAATCTTTATATGTCTCTCACCCAAGAATATTTTGCAAGCATTTTTTATTTAGTAGTTTTATCCCATTCAACCTTCTATTCACCCAGGATTATCAAAAAAAGAAAATCTGATTTGTCCAACACATGACTTTCCTTTCTAGTTATTACAGGTTTTTTATGGTTATTTTGTCCAATCTCCCCTGTAATATTCATTGCCAACGAAAATACTGAAAAATTGAAATTTTGCAATTTTCATCAAATTTTTTCATTGAGCTCCATTGTAGAGAAATCATATATAAGAGTAAAAATTATAGAGAATGATATCGCAAACAACTTTTGAACCATTTTCGTAAAAATTAGAATTTTACGTTTTTCTATAAAGTACCCCCCAGATGTTCCGACTATGCTCAAAATTTAATCATTTTGTCGCAGGATGGATTAAAGTTTTAATTTTAGTGTTTTTTCTCTTATTCCGTTTTCCAAAATTCGAAATTTGTACTTTTTCAAATATCTCGAATACGGTCCATTTTAGATAAATTATGTATAAAACAAGAATTGTAGAGAATGACATCACAAACAACTTTTATTTTTAAACAATTTTATTAAAAATTTGATTTTTTAACCTTTTGTCAGTTTTTTTGAATACGGGTAATTTTTTGAACATTTTGTATAAGGCAAAAATTATAGAAAATAATATTATAAACAACTTTTATTTAAAGAATTTTCTCCTCCAAGCGAAAATAACATATATTCAATAAAATAGAAAAACGATCCTTCATAAAGGACCACCAGATGTTCCGACTATGCCCACAATCTAATATGCTCACCGCAGGACAGAATAAAGCTTTTTTTTCTGTATTCGTTCATGATTTAATAGTCAAAACGGATTCTGGGGACTCCAAAACGTACAGTTCCGTTGAAAATTCGAGGTCAAAAAATCTTGATTCCTATACTTATCTGTAGACAGACAGGAGTAAAAAAGAAAAATGTCAAAAAAATGCGGGCAAAGATAATACTTTTAGTAGAGATGAGTCATACAAACATAACATTTTGAGAGCAATTAAAAAACTTTCCGACTTTTGGTTCCAATTTTACACCTATTTCAAGGTTACATTTTTTATATTAACCCTTTCACCGACACAAAAATATGAATTGTAATATCATCTTAGATTCAGAAAAAACGTGTCTAAGCCATATTCCTAATTTGCTTTCCTTGAAAAACGTAAATATTCGGTCACGTGGCCGAAATCGCAAAACTGGATCACAGAAAATGCTTGCAAAGGGATTGTATATTATATTGTCGTGTAAGTCATTTTCGACCAATCCGGTCATAATAATCTCTTAAGTAGCTCTTTACCTTATTTGAGTCGTTACCATTTCCTGTATAAAAATATTCAATTAAAGAAATCACCTAGGAAAACCTCTATTGATCCGCCTGTGTTCCGCTCTCGCCTGTCGAACGAGGCGACGCAATCGGTGAAGAAACACATCTAGTATGGTCGAGAATTATCTGAAATTATTCCAGAACAGTGCGGTGCGCAGCATTTTTGAATAAATAGCGCCACGTTGTCGATATAAGTTGAGTTTATAGACACAAGTTGAAGATAGACATTCGAATTGTTATATAAATTAGATTATTAAGTGTGAAATATAAATCAGCTAAGTATTTAAGTAAAGGGTGTCTCAGAAGTATTTTCGTTTATCAATACATCCGCTGGCGCAATAGGCACATTCCTGAGAAAGGAGGCAGTTGGAAAATCGTAATATACTGTGTTAAGTTTTAATTGCAATGGAGCGATGCGTCGTTTGTAGATAAATCATTATAACAGAGCAAGAATGAATGATGTCCCAACTGCAAATTTACCAGTACTGGAAATTAAATTTGCACTTGGGATATCTTTCATTCTTGCTATGTTATAATGATTTCTGTCCAAGTGACGTACAAGAATATAAGAATCATTGTTTTTATAAAACACACGATTACAAAAAGCACGTTGCAGCCCCGCAGATTGCTCCATTGCAACTAAAACGTAACACTGTCGACCACCGTTTGCCAACTGCCTTCTTTCTTGGGAATGTGCCTATTGCGCCAACGAACGGATTAATAAATGAAAATATTTTTGAGACACCCTATATAAATAAATTAATTAGTGTTTAGAGTATATACATAATTAAGTGGTTTTAAAATAAACAAACGTTACAATATATTTTATTGCCAGCAAAAAAACAAAAACATCGGTAAGCTACTTTCACAGGTCATATCACCGCTCCCACCACCGGGGCATAGTAAGTACATGTTGTTCATCCATTTCTTCCTCCCCTGTACCCAACTTCAAATAGCAAGCAAGAAACATGACGCGGCACTTTTTACAGTCAGACGAGGGACTAATAGTATGAATATTAATATAATTAATTGTAATTCCAATTATTTTATTATTGAATTATTTTATCATGAAACAACATTTTTTAAGTATTTTTTAACAAAATCACTCTCACGTCCTCATTTTTATTTCCTAAGTGGTGTGAACTTAATAGAGATCCTTTTAATAATCGTGGGAAGACATATTTTAATAATTCCATTATTTTGATCCAACCAAGTTTAATAGAGATGGCACAAGAAGTGTAAAAATTAGTTAGGGGAGCCAGAGGGCGCAACCATCGTTAAAATTATTTTTAATTGCAATTGAATTATCTCATTTGAAATTTAATGTGTAATATGGGTGAATTATGCTCTTAAATAAAATAATAAGTTGTGTTAAATGTTGAATGATGATTATTTAAATTAATATACCATTCTAATTTCAAGAAAATATAGTGACTGTGTTTAACTACCTTTTAGATATCACGTACATAATCTTTATTTTCTTGTACTGAATTATCAAGATTTTTGGTTAAACTTACTCTTTGTAATATTTTTTTTTAGTTCCGTCTTTTTTGTTTGTTATTTTATTCTTTGTCTATTTCTGGTTTGTAATAGTTATTTGTTCCTCCTATACTATTTTCCTACATTTTTAGTATCCCATGACTTCTTGACTTGTTTTACTCCATCCACCTTCCTAAGGTGTCCTACCAGTTTCCATTTCACTTTCTTTTTTTTTGTTGACTACTTCAAGCTCATTCCTGATGTCTACTCTTCTTGTCTTATCCATTCAAATCTAAATCTAAAGTATGTTATTCAAATTTCAGCTCTAAAATAAACCTGGTACCTTTTCATATCGCAAACTACTAACTCAGTTTTCTTTGAAAAACCTCTGTTGGAAATACCACCTATTGACCTATTGCTAATAACAACTTCACTATAACTATACAATTTTACGATAGCGGATTTAATATGTATTTGAATTTGCATTATTCAGTCATTTTGAAATATTTTTTGTGATTATGATAATCGCCTTATATTAATGTTATGCATTGAGATATAAGTTGTTATTTGTTTAAATGCTTTTATTATACATATATACCAGTTAATTTTTCTTGAACAAAACAAATGTGATATCTGTGACACTTCCTTCAATTTTGGTGATTAATTTTTTGATCAAATTTTATATCGCGAATAAAAAAAAATAGTAAAGATGAAAAACATAAACAATTAAAATGGGGGAATTAAAAATGAAAACATAGATGTGAAAGACGATTTAATATTCTCATTGAATTAATTACATTTCTATGGCATGAAAATTACAATAAATTTAGCAGTAAAAGATGCTTTGAGCTTTGAATGATTTGATTTGTAGACGAACATATTTTTTTCAATGCTTAGAAAACTCGTAAAATAAAATTTGCACATATTAAATCGTTATAAGCTAGGTAAACAGGAATTAAATTTTATAAAATAAAATTATCTGCAAAATTACAATCTACACTTTTAACTGATTATGTCAGCACAGATTTTATCTTTTGTTTGCAATATTTTCCCTTCTGTAATCAGTTTGATATTAAAGTTTTATCTAAAACTGTAGTATACAATTTTTTCAAAACAGAAAATATTTTTAATATTGGTTAAAGGTAGGAATACTTTATCTATTTATTGATATATATGATTGGATTTAAGTTTTATCAGATATCAATATCAAATATTTGTGTAGTTGAATGGTTTTATCCCAGCTTGCATAAAAATGGTAATATGTTGTTGCAGAAAAAAGTATGTCAATAAATATCTATAATTAAACGATTACTTATATTTATTTTATTTGTTAAAAATTAATTACATGGAATAAGGAAATTTTAAAAATAGTTTTTTTTTAAACCGACTAATATATTTTTCAAATTGTCTTCGTTTTATCAAATCTAGTGATATTTGTCTTTTTTGAAATACAGGCTGTTTCTTAATTACCTACGTGTTTTCAGCATATTTAAAAAAAACTAACATCCGGAAATCCTTTGTACCAAAATGCCTGAATATAATAATTTCAAGTTTGGGATGCAATGGATGCAGTAACAAAAAGTATCTTTTTGTGTTAGTCAGACCTTCAAACCTTGTTGACGTATCAGTTCTGCTCACTGAACTACAAGAATTAATATTGAATCATTTGCTTTTTTTGACCTTGGGTTGTTGATTAACTAAATTATTTGAAATTAATCAAGTAAATCACAAATTCACAGAATGTTATTTAAACTACAGAATGCACGCATGTTCGAGTATATTTTTATTTTGCTTTATTATTGTGACAAATTTAACCAAATAGGTACAATATTCTCTTAACCGGTGTCAAATTTAGAACAATATCATTAAATAGTCATGTAAGTAAGAGTCATTTACAATATAACCCGTATGAAATTAATTATTGATTTCCTTGTAAGATAAGGAAATACACGTATGTAGGTATTACTTAATTCAGTTATTTAATTGTTTGTTAATACATTGTTATTGAGAAATTGTTAATTGTAATCATATGTGTTGGTCCAAAAAAAAAAATAATCAAGATATATTTTTTTAAATGCTACTTTTTTCTCTCCTCAGAAATGCTACGACATTTTTCAAAATGTATTTTTTATTACTTTGGCATTCATTTAACCCAAATGCTTGCCAACCAAAAACTACTTCATTAAATATAATTATATCCTAACACAGCTGTTAATTCTTATTATTAATTATTCAATACCAGAAAATGCTCAGGTACTTTTTAAATATCGATTTAAAACTATTGTATAGTTTTTATACTTATGATTAACTATGACCTATGCTGTACTTGTTAAATAAATATATTTTTTAATTATCCAAAAAGCGGCAGTGAAATTTAATATTAGAGTGAAATTTGTTTATTAACACGTTTTCATGGTATTTACAAATTGGATTTGAGCATGCAGTCATGCATAACCTTATACAATAGATTATACATTACATTCTCTGCCTTTGATTGCCTTGAACTTAAATGATGTTGTTTATATTGCGTTATTGGCTATAGTTTTTTTTTTTTTTTGAAAAACAATATTAACTAAAAGTGAGTGATTTATTTTGGCGTTTTTTGTAATATCACAAATATTTTGCTTCGTCATTTTTACAGTAGGTATACTATTTACCTAATTTCATTTATTGGTTGCTTTGCTGTAAGAGTAGGTACATAGGTACGAGGGATGGTTGATAAATCAAGTTTTTTGATCCAGTTCGGTTTTAAAGATTTGTTCATAAGCAAATTTGATACAAATCTCCCACAAACTAATTCTTCATGTTTGGAAAATTGTAAATATTAAAAATGCTGTGGTGGGCAGAGCCAGTTTTCCCACTAGACCCATTCCTAAGGCTAGTAGCGTGGCGTATAAGGGGCCAGGTGGGGGCGATTGCCCTCGCCCTTTGCAGTTAGAGCAGCTTTGGCGTCCCTCACATAGGTTTGAGCGCCCCAGAAAAGCTTCGCCCCCTCCGCCTTTTTGCCCTTGCTACACCACTGCCTACTGCCTAGTAAGCTTCTCCCGAGTGACACTACTTATTTAAATATACGAGGTGTGACTAGAAAAAACAGGACTGTTGGTTCTGCAGACAAATGGTGAGGGGTCTAAGTCAAACAGAACGCGTGACAGCTCCGCTTACAGGGTTGTCCGCCCTTCTATTTTTAGATTATAATTATTTTAATCGACAAGCTTAATTAAAAATTAGTATCCGTTAAAATGAGAGTTGAATTGGTCTGGCAAAGTACTTGGGTTCAGAGTCATACATTTTTAATTCTGTGGTTTCATTTCTGTAGCTTGCATATTATGTGTAATTCACACAAAAAATTTCTAAAGTAAGCATTGAAAAAATTCATTCATGTCTGAGCGTAGTGTCAATTTGAATTTAATTCAAAGCCGTGCATAGCTATCACGGACATGTTTTGTATCTCTGTTTTTATCGGTTTAGGTCTACTTTAGAAACAATTTTGTGGATCACTCTTTATTTTTAAGTTAGAGACATTTTGTGCGCTTTGTCTTAATTTTTGTGCTGAGCAAACAAAACACGTATGTTTTTAGTTTTAAAGCAACTGTATCAATGATTTGAATTCCTAACGTTAATTTTCAGAGAATTAAACGGCGTTACTCTCTGCTACAAAATGGGTAACGTGCAAGATTCCCAATCTATCGATTCACCTCCAGAACGTCCTCCGAAACCGAATTCGATGTCTCCAGGAGGAAATCCCATATACCCACCGCTAGATTCCGATCACGATTATGAAATTTTACGGCCCGGCGCTTATCCTTCTGCCGGTCCTGGAGCACCAATCCGGCCTGCCCCCAAGCCACCTGCAGCGCCAGTAGTGCAACATCAAAACTCTACAAATACGCTGGGATCGTCTTATACGAGCGGTCTAGATGGTGTTCCGTTTGTTGTAAATCCAAAATTTTTAACGGGTAGTACTTCAGATAGGGTAAGTGCTACTTAATCCTTCTTTTAAATCACCATTCTGTATTTTGAAGGAAGAATGAAACAAATAACAAATTCTCTCAGGTAAAGAGAAAAATCCGGTTTTCTATTCCCTCAAATTCAAGAATAGCTATTTTTAGTAGGTGATTTATGATCGTGCATGTAAAGATTGCAAGGCCTCACTTTTTATGGAGATAATTCATCAAACCAATTTAGGAATTAATTTTTCATACTAATTACGTTTTAAACTCGCTAGTATTTTAAATAGAAAGTTTGAATTTTTATAACACACTGAAACATTTTCAAAACCGCCTTATGTTAAAAGTTTAATTCTATAATTTTGGGAGTCAGTGACACGGTTTTGGTACGCTTGGCAAAATTAAAAATGTATCATTCATACCTTGTAGAAAAGGGAACTACTTTGCTGCCAGCCACCACCAGCGGTGGAGCAAATGCCAATGTCATAAAATTACAATCTTGAAACTTTCAGATAGTGTTATGTACATCAAAAGTTAATAGAATAAAATTTGCTGCCACCTTGGAAGCGGTGCAAATCCTTGCTGCCGCGACCTCTAAATGTGGAAAATGAAATTGTTAAGTATTTGTATAAGAAAATAGTTTGCTGCAATCGATCTGGTGGTGGAAAGCACTGGCAGCAAAGCGACAAGGGGTTGCAGGCTGAATTTCAAGAAGCTCAGAAACTTTATCATCTATTTTACCCTGAATATTGTAAATATAAATTGTGCAGTCATTTCTGAATAAACTATATTTTTACCAATATACAGGGTATCCGGAAATACCGTTCGAATAATTTGAGGGATGATTATACTTAAGAAAACATTAACATTTTTAGCATATGTCTGGAAATGCATAGTTTTTAAGATACAGGTACACCCCAGTTTTTGATAGAATTTGTTGCCCAAAGATATGCAATGAGTTTTTTTTTAAGAAACCGAAGCCCAATATGAAAACAATTCAAGAGACAAAATTGTTCTGTTTTTAGCTGTTTAATCCGAAAATATAATATAAAATGTTTAAAAAAAAATCAGTGGCGCACATTTTTTTTTTGTCAATAATATTCGGGATGCCACTAGACTTTATAATTTTAATCTAATAAAGGCTAAATTAGCCCGTTATTACTATAAACAACTCTACCAAATTTCCACAAAAGCGACAAAAAGGTATCTAAATAACATCTAAAGGTGTCACTGGCTCCCCTACCATAAGTTGATCTTTAGTCATTACGTAAATATTCACGAGGAGTCAGTTTAATAATATTAAAAAGAAAACAAAGATTTTTAACAGAATGTTAACTGTTTGTAATAATGTTTTTATTTTTTTAGTTTCAGTTTCCCAGGATAAAGGCGCGGACTATGCAGCAAATTCTCAAAGACTACGACTACCCGTTTACAGTGGAACGACAGACATAAAACATTAATCACTAACGATATAATCCTATATTTATCACTAGATGATGGAACTGAATCTTTTTGTTGAGATTTATATTGAAATAATAATTTTACCGATTATGGTTTTGCATTATTGTGCATCAATTTTGACGGTTTACTGTTGGCCATTTTGTGTCATGTCATCACTTTAGATTTAGTCAAGAATTTATTATTATTACGTAATTTAAATAAATATGCTATATTTCGTTTCGTTCTGTAATATTTTTAGGTAATTATTGTTTTTAAAATTTTAGCACTGAATGTTTAATACAATTTACAATAATAATAATTGTGAAAGGAATTAAATCGTATAATATAAGACTTCCTCGGTGACTTGATTTTCTTAAATATTTGTGATACTTTGACTTATGTCAGTGGTTAGGGTTAGGGTTAATTAAAAATATCAAAGTTGTACACTATAAAGGGATAATGTATTAAAATCAGATTTTACTCGGTAGAATATTTTATTTTTAGAAAATCAAATATACGGGTATTTTCGGTCTTCAGTTTTAAGGGCTTAAACATTTTAAAATATTTTCGATGTCTGTTGTATACCACGATCTGCATAAAATTACATAAAAAAAGTCTATATGTGTTAGGTCGAGCGATCGAGGAGGCTAAGTAACAACACCACATTAGCAAAGAATTTAGTCTCATAAAAATAAGACCTTAAACACCCTGTATATAAACTGAAATATTAGTTTAGAGTCGCTACCAGTTTTATTCGTGCCATTTATTGACTTTTGTCATGATGAGGTACTTTTTATTGTAGTCAAACCAGCAAAAAGCTTGAGAAATGCCATAAAAATATGTTTTATAGTTTGTAGAGCAATCGAGTCGATTTATTCAATATATTTATGTAAAAAATGTGTGTGTTAAGTGCCAGAACTCTATAAAAGATCCCAGTAATATTTAGAAACTGCATTGTTGATAAAAACTTTTGAGCCACACTTTTACCAAAGTGAAAACAAAAAGGTTCGTTATGTTTAGACCAATGTTGTTGAATCTAGAATTATTTCTAATAAATCACCCTTGGTTATTAGTATTTTATTTCGAGTATCATTTTTAATATTATTTATTATCTGACCGAGGAAGCGTATGTTTATTCATTATATTATGTTCAAGTACTTTACACAAATATTAACCATTTGTTAAGAAGGTTGCCAATATTTTATATTATAATAGTTTTGTTTTTTTGTAAATATACCTTTAGTAATTACAACTTTGTTTTATTTTGAAGTGCTTCAATATAAAACCAAAATTTATGCGAGTCATTTTGAAGCTCGATTTGCAAAAATTCTAATCGAAAAAACGGCTTTAAATCAACCTACTTCGCTCTGGCAGTTGAAGTGTTAAATAATTGACATCGCCGAATGGATAAAACATTGAAGTTAGTCACATTAGTAGATTCTTCTTTTTTAATGACATTTGTAGTGGTAGTTCAAATATATCATCAATCAATTTAACCTAAAAAAAAAACAAAAAGACGTTGGTTTGTTTGGTTATATCACTTTTTTGGTACTGTTTAATGCTGTTCGAATCTTCTTAATATTCAGTAAAAGCAATGTAAGTACATTTTAAATATTTTTATATATTATTCAAATAACTGGTCTGTTTTAGGACGTATCGTACTAAATTGTTTATAGTTTCCAAACAACTTGCCGCAAATTTTACCAGAAAATACTCAAAATCTATTGAAAAAGAACTCGAAGTACCTACATTTTGTGATGTATACATTACTGTACCTTATAATCTAAATATAAAACCTTTAAATATCCATAAATATCATAATTTTGACAAACTAATCATAGAACATGATGGAGAGTCCGATAAAGATTTAGAATTTAGTGTAAATGGCAATCATGTGACAATAATAGATAAAACTGAGAATACAAGTATTAATTGTAATGTTAAAGTTCCAATAAAAGCAAGTAAGATGAATATTTGCATATACAAATTAGAAAATACTAGTAATATACAGTACGTTAACTGATGAATCCAGCTAAATAAAGATAGGACACTAATAATAATTAGATGTAAGAGAGCAACTCGTGAATCGCCTATCTGCTTGCCATGATTGGTTACACTGTTAATGGTGGTGGGATAGCATGTATCTCTGTTTCTATTTATTCATTGTTATTCTATATTGTTCTCCTTGAATCAGGATTGTAAAGTTAACATACTGGAGATATATAATAAATACTTGGTTTACAAATTATTACAACTACTTGAAATATACCTTTTTTAAACACTTATGTATTTTAGATTTGTATGTTGATTGTAAAAGAGATATTACAGTAGGCCAACTTAACGGTGATAAAATTAGTCTCAAGTCTGAAGAGGGTAATATAACTTTGGATAAGTTCCATGGAGAATCTGTTAAAATTTCTACAAAAACGGGAGATATCAAGTTTAAAAATGTTGTTCAAGCATCTAACATTGAAGCAGTTGTCTCTGAAACAGGAGTAAGTTATAATCTTAATAAAAATATTGAATTTTTATTTGTTATTCTTTGGGTATCAACAGCATAATTTCTGGTTGTAATAATTAGATGATTTAGAATTTTTCTGTTTTTAGTCAATAAAAATTGGAAGAGTACAAGGTCTAAACCTCAAACTAAAGACTAATAATGGAGATATGACAGTTGAGTCATCATATTGTAATAAAAGTGTTTTTGAAGTTCAAAAAGGTAAAATGGAATTGGCAAATATTCACAAAACTTGTAAAATTATGTTAAATGAGGGCCATTTAAAACTGAGTAAGTATTGTTATAAGAATTTTAAAAAATATCTATTTTAAATATTTTATATAAGTTTTTAAACTATGAAAAATATATTTCTTTTTAAGATGGGTTTGACGGAAAACTTTCTACTCATATAGAAAACGGTTCTGCTGACATATATCTGTCCCGAATTTTGGATAATTCAGATATAACAATAGTAAAAGGAACTCTGCACTTAACACTAGCAGAGTTGTGTCAAAAACATGTTAAATATGTAGTGGCAGCAAAAGAATGTGATTTTGCAGATGATCTCAATATAGAAACAGATGAAAATGGTTGTGTTAGAATAAATCCTGATATTAATGAACATACAGTGTCTGTTTATTGCTCAGAGGGAACTGTGATTGTGGATTGTGCTAGTTGGAAGGACATGATAAAAATGAAGCTAAAGAAATAAGCATTTAGCTATCTGCGAAGTTCTTTATCTATTTTGCAGCATGTCCCATATTATACAATATCTGTAGAATATGGGTGTTTATTATACTTCCTGTTAAGAAATAAACTTAATTATTACTTCGAAATAATAAGGAAAATAATTTGCAATAATACTAAATTTAATTTAGTTGCTTCTTAAATAATTTTTAAAATTCCCAGATAATAAAATTTACAAATTAAAGTGTCACTATAATCATTTTTTTCATAATTTCTGGTTTAAAAAGCCAATTAAGTTATGAGAGAATTAAAGTCTTTTTTATGGAACATGCTGTTAAGAATAGTTGATTTATAATTAATTTAATTTTAAAAACTTCCCTTTTGCTAAGCAATTTGTACTTAAATTCTTATTAAATGCTCATTTTTATTTATAATGTTTTAGATCTAAGATTTATACATTTGCTTTGATGAAATTACCCGCTATTACTAGTCAAAATACCACTGAATTATTTTGATAAGTATATATTTTTTGTATTCATTTTTTAGCAATAAATTTCGCAATTAAAAATAATGCTTTTAGATTAAATGTTTTTTCTTAATATCCATTTTTCTAGTTCATTTAGTTTTATTAGGCCATTGAAATCAAAATAAATTCTTAAATAGGAATCCTATATTTACAAAAATAAACTGTTTATAACAATGTTCTAATAACGCCATTATTTTCTTCCCCTTTTCCCTTTGTTTCCTTTGCTTTTTCCTTTTCCTTTCTTCTGTTTTTGCTTCTTTTTCTCAGCTAACAACCTCGCTTTAACAATTTGATCACTTGATTTCAATTCTGATTTCCGTTGTTTCAACTTTATTTTTTCATTATGTTTGGCCCAATGTGTAAAAACTTTTCTATGAGGACCTAAAACGTATTTACCATGTACTAAAGGTGGAATTTATTTTATAAATAAATACAAAATCCTACTTTTAACGAAATTTGTATATGTATTGACAGAAATAGATTTTATACCTTTTTGTGTAGGCGCCTCTTCAGCATCCTCATCATCATTGTCAGCTTCTTGGTCTGCTTTTGTTCTTTCTTTCCATTGTGCATATCTCTGACTTTTATATGTAGCTGGTATCCATACACCTGATTCGGTTTTAATTTTACCTGCCTTGGAATCCTTTAAAAACAATATTTTATTTAATCTGTTAGTAACGAGATAAGGGCACATACAAATAATTTAAAAGAAATTCATAATTATAAAGCTGCCGTGTTAATTCAAATTACCGTATCTGTTTAATACATGAACGTGAGAAAAATGGATTTTTCAAGAAAAATCACTTACGGCCAAATTTCTAAGCATTAAATCTCGGATTTTATAGAATATATCCATGAAAATTATAGAGATAAACAAAAAATTCATTGTTGTCAGGCGTAGTGGTCGTATCTTTATTTCAAGGAAAATTGCAGATACGGCCTTTTGAATTAACACGGCAGAAATGGCAAAAAGAAAAAAGACAATAAAACAGGTAATTCAAAATCGATCATGAAACCGATAATAAAGAAAAGCAGTTCTCTGTTAATGTGCCAAAAACATCTAATTGTAATATAATTTGTGAGTTTATCTGTTTGGCTATTTGATTTGATAAAAGTTCAGGGCAGTTGATAAAATTATGAATTATTAAATTAATTTGCACCCATTTTAAAGAAAATAGCATTTACTTACTGTAACATCAATCATTTTCTTTTTCTTTCTGTCCCATACTTTTAACTGCTTACTCAATTTTAAAGTTTCTTCTGAGTCGCCAACTATGTCTAATTGAGCACCAAGAACCTCTTTTTGGAAGTTATTGACCGCTAACCTAAAATATGTTTTCATAGATAAGTAAGATAAAATTATTTTTTTTTTATACATACCCTTGTTCAGTGTGTTGATCTATAGGTGTATAAGGAATATAATTTTCATCCTTAAGTTTTTGTTTCTTGTTTTTCTTATACAAGGAATCCATCTTTCTTTTTTTGGGTATAACTACTTCAGAAAATGCATCATTTATGTCATCGTTATTGCTGTTCTCCAATGTTATTTCATCCTTATTTTTCGTATCTTCAACTTCTGCTTGTTTCTGCTCCAACCGTTGATGATGTGTACTGATTTTCTCTTTGTGAAAAGCCCGCTTCTGTTTCATTATTTGGTATTCTGTTGATTTATTTTTGCCACATATTTCGAATATAGTCTTAAAAAATAAATTTATTGAAGAATTGTCAAAATAAAATGTGACATAATATTTATATTTAAAAAATAATTTACTCACCCCATGTGGTCTATAAGTCTTCATTTTATCCAAAAGATTTTCCCGTTCTTCTTCAATTTCCTCCGAAATATGTTGGAAAACTGGATGGACCCAGCAAGAAGATAGAGGCAGCTCCTTAATTCGTCTGTTACTATCTGCAGATGCATTAGGCCTAGATCTTATGTATTGCTCATAACCATTTGATGCCACCTTTTTCAAAGCAACCTGAAAATTATATTTAAAACATAAAATTCCTTTACTATACAAAATGTTAACCCATGGATCCTTCTAAATAAAGATGAGATGCTTAATTATATTTGCATGTGAGTGAACTAAGGAGAGACTCTCGTGAATCGGCTGATACACCTCTCCCACAGAGGGCTGACATGCATTATTCTATACTGTTCTAATTGTATGAAACAACATACTGTATATAGGTTGATGTAGAAAATGTTAGTGTTGTTTTTACAATTTTCTTACCAAATCTGTGTTATTTTCATGTAAGATTAAAATGGAACTGTGTTGCTCTTCTATCAAAGCCTGTGGTATTTTCCCAACAGCTCCATTTTTGTTAGCAGATGTTGCTATTGTAAGGGGTCGTCCTAAAAATAAGTGCAAATCTAGAAGATAAGCATATTCATCAGGGGCCACAAGAGAATAAGCAGTACCACTTCTTCCAGCTCTTGCACATCTACCTTAAATACAAAATTATTTATTTAAAGATGTTTGTACCCTTCTAAATTTCAATAGATTCTTTCAAAATAAAAATATAGATTTTTCTTACCTACTCTATGTACAAATAGTTTTGGCTTGGCAGGAAAATTGAAATTTATGACATTGTCTAGCTGGGGTATATCAATACCTCTGGCAGCCACATCTGTTACTATTAATACCTTTACATTACCAAGGCTAAATTTGGCAGCATGAATTTTCCTAGCAGATGGATCCAAATTAGAATAAATGTATGTATTGCTGATTCCTACCTTATCCAACACCTTCAAAAAAATGTAAATTGTTGGTCAGTAATATTTGTCTTTGACAAGAACATAACTTACAGCATGTAAATATTCAACATGATGTTTTGTTGCTGCAAAAACAACTGTTTGTTGATTTAGGTCTATATGAGTTTTTAGAAGCACCAAAAGTGCAGCTAATTTTTCTTCTGCTCGAACATTAAAATACCAACACACCAATTCTGTGGGCAATTTAGATTCTACATCCAATCTAAAATTAAATAGAATTAACATATTTTAGACTAATATATTTTATAAGCACACCTTAATAAAACAGGATCACTCAGGCCTGCTTTGGCAAATTCAACCAGAACTTTTGGTAATGTGGCAGAAAACAACACAGTTTGCCTTGTATCAGGCAATCTTCTTATAATCTCTGTTAATTGATCTCCAAGACCCATTTCAAATAATCTATCCGCTTCATCAAAAACAACATATTCAATGTTATTCAATTTTAGTTCCATTTCAATGCACACATGCAAAAGTCTACCAGGTGTAGCAACAATGATATCTGGGTTACCATGAATTGCTGAAAATTGGTCTTCCATGGAATCACCTCCAAGTATAACAGCTGCTTTTAAGCCCACAAAACGGCCAATGTCTTTAATAAACTTTAAAGTCTGCAAAAAATTATTCTGATTTTATTATTTGCTCATTTTGAACTTATTGGATATATTAAGTATCACCTGTAGGGCAAGTTCTCTGGTAGGTGAAAATATAAGACCTCTAGCTCCACTTTTAGCACTGCGAGCTTTCAATTTTTCAAATAAGGGAATCAAAAAGGCTGCAGTCTTACCACTACCTGTTCTTGCCATGGCCACTACATCTTTTCCATCCAATATTATAGGAATTGTCTAAAAATAATAAATCAAATAGGGCAAATACATAACGATAATAGGTACTTACTTTTCTCTGAATTGGTGTAGGCTGTTTGTAACCCCTTTTCATTATCCCTTTGAGAACATTGTAATTTAAATGCATGGATTGAAATCCTCCTTTTTTGTTTCCCTTCTTTTTACCTTCCTCATTTTTAGCGGAATCCTTCAATAGGCTCGGATCTGCAAAACCTGGAATATCATTCATTTTGGTAAAGTAAAAAAGTAGTTGATGGATATTTTATAGGTTAAGTAGATCTAAAAGAAGTGCACGTGTTTGTAAATATGTCAGTTGTCACCAGTACATTTGAACTATTGAAAACAAAGAATTTTGTTGTTGCTAATAATGAACCAAAAAAAGAGAAATTGTAATTTCTGCTAATAGACGGATTCAAACCTCAAACGTATAAATTAATTAGTTAAAAAATGTTTGAAAGGAGTTGCATGCTTATTGGATTATAGTCCTTTATGGAACTATAAATAGAAGAAGAACTTGACATTGACATTTTATTCTGCGACGTCATTTCCGAAAAATCGCATATTTCTTTTTATCCGGGACCGCCACGATTGGTAGTGTCTTGTACGTGTTCTATAAAAAATATTTTTTATATAAGTGAAGAACATGGTAAGTCAAATTAAAAAATATACTCATTATTCAGTTCTTAACTAAACTAATATTCTATTAGTTATATTTATTTTTGTTTAAATTTTCTGGCCGATTGGATGATAGAAGATTTTTGTAGATATTTGGTGACTAGAATAAATGCTAAGTTTTTTTAGTGGCTAAAAGTTTTTAGTAAATGTTAAAACATTTAGTATTAATATGCCAGGATTCGTAATGTATTTGGTTTTTAGGCTTTCGTAAAAGTCGTTAAGAATAAGCAGTACTTCAAGAGGTACCAAGTCAAATTCAAGAGGCGCCGACAGGGTAAAACCGATTACTATGCCCGTAAGCGTCTTATTGTTCAAGACAAAAACAAGTACAACACCCCTAAATACCGATTAATCGTCCGTATTTCAAATCGCGACATAACGTGTCAGATTGGTTACTCTCGTATCGAGGGAGACAAGATTATGTGTGCAGCCTATGCCCACGAGTTGCCAAGGTATGGAATCAAAACCGGACTCACCAATTATGCTGCTGCTTATGCAACTGGTTTGTTATTGGCACGTCGTCTTCTAAAAAAATTAGGACTCGATAGCTTGTATGCTGGTACCACAGACGTTACAGGTGATGAATACAATGTTGAAGGTGTTGACAATGGACCAGGAGCCTTCAGGTGAGAAGTTATGCCTGAACGTATTTAAGATAATGATTTTGTGTTAAAACCAATACATATGGTTTGCTTTAAATAGTAAAAACTTGGTATTTTTATCCAATTTATCACATGTATTTTCATATGGGTATATCTGTAAATGCATAATTAATATATCTAGTAGAAAGACAAAATTTTGACAAACTTTTGATTTTTATATATTTTTATTCGAATTACAATGAATATATTTTTATCTTTTAAATTAAATGTCTTTATTTTTGTTAAATTTTGTAAGTAGAACTGCTAAATATGGTAACTATGTCTAAATCAGTATTTTCTATTGATATTCCATACTATCATCTCCATGTTTTGCTTTTTAGGTTTAATGATCGCATACTACCATTTACTTTTTCATAGGCAACGGCTTACCTTAGTGGGTTACACCGGATCCCGTAAGATCTCCGAAGTTAAGCCACTGAGGGCGTGGTCAGATCTTGGATGGTTGACTACAGCTTGTGTAAAAATACGTGCTGTTGCCTAATGGGTCAACATTCAAATCTGGCGACGTCAAGAATTGTTTGTTTTTTTTTTTTTTTTTAGAATTTTACCTAAAAATATGAGTAAGTTGTCTTCCAAATTACAAATATAGGTCATTATCTTTAAGTCATGTTTTTAAATTAAGATGCAACTTGGGTTTAATTTTTTTGACTTGTGTACAATTATTGGTTTAGTGATCACAAGTGTGTCAATTAAAACAATGTCTGTATGTTAAAAATGACTTCTACTACTAGTCTGACCCTCTTTGAAATAGTATATTATTAGACGATTGATTTAGGTTAGATATTTTTATTCTAAATAAAATACATACTTGTTCTGTGAAATTAAAAGTCAATATTAACTATTTGTAAAGTAATATACTAAGACTTAAACCAAAATGTTTGGGAATCAAGATAACAACATACTAAAATAATCAAATTAGTGAAACAATTTTCAAGATGTCATTACTCATTCCAACAAGATTCTTTGATTCTTAAAAGACATAGTAACTGTCCTGTTTTTATCCTATAAAAAGTAATTTTGCCATCAGTTATTGATGAGGCACATGTGAAGAATCCTAGCCCAAGTGTACTTGTCAGATGATCCTGACCAGTTGTCTTTATTAACAAATTTAGGGTGCGGACCGTTATTAATCTACTACTAACCGCTAGTAAGTGGGATTTTTTGACTTAATAGCAACCGTAAAAGTATAGCAGTTAGTGAATTGATGTTTGAGTCACCATTTTCAGGTAACCACATCCCTAATTTAAACGATTTTTCAGGAATGTTGAGTAGAGCGGTTAGTTTTGCACTGAGTAACCAATATTTCAGTTAATAACGGACCATACCCTTAACTTAATAAATTGATGTTTGTATGATGAAATTTAGACACATGCGCGTCATCTGATTTGGCCGAACGAGGCTCTCTGAAGGACCTTTTACATGTCTTATGTATAAAGGAATCCTTTATTTTGCTTTGAGACTCCAAACGCTTTGATTATAAAGTGTCTCTGATTTAATAAATCATCAATATTTATATAACAGTTAAAAAAATAGTTTATTGAAAATGGTATTCTTTTCTACCAGGTGTTACTTGGACACCGGTTTGAAGCGTACCAGCACTGGCGCTCGTGTCTTTGGAGCCATGAAAGGTGCCGTCGATGGAGGTTTAAATATTCCACATTCCACTAAACGTTTCCCAGGTTTTGACAGTGAGTCAAAATCTTTCAATGCTGAAGTCCACCGTAACCATATCTTTGGTATTCATGTTTCTGATTATATGAAGTCTTTGGAGGAGGAAGACCCAGAAGCTTTTAAAAGACAATTCAGTCAATACATCAAATTAGGAATTAATGCTGATCAGGTAAATATAAAATATTCATTCTTTTTGTCTAAAATCAAGAATAACTTATAGATTTATTATATTAAATTCTACGTCCAATTTAAATTACTGCAGTTGATGAAAATTTTTACTGCCGTGTCGCAATTGGACTACAGGAATTCAGGTTCTGTGAATTTATTCTAATCACATTTGGTCAGAATTTATAAGAATTTGATACAGTTTTTCATTCTATTTTTCTAAATATTTTTTTTATTTCTCTTCTTGTGTCTCCCCCTTAGTTCTCAGTTCAACATATTTTATACATAATTCCAGATCTAACTTGTATTCATTTGCTTTTTTTATTTATATGCACCATAATACATTTTTATTTGTAATCTTCATTAATTTACCCTTTTTGTAATCTTTTTCAGATTGAAACTATCTACAAGAATGCACATGCTGCAATTCGTGCCAACCCAGAAGCTGAAAAGAAACCTGAACAAGCTCCTCCTGCCACCCAAAAGAGATGGACACGCAGGAAGCTTACGTTGGCCGAACGCAAAGACCGTGTCACGCAGAAGAAGAAATCGTTTATTGCCAAGCTCCAAGAACAAGAAGCTTGAGCAGATACTTTTGTATTATGAGTTGATATTGTGTAAATAAATACATGATAATGTTGTAGTTTTGTTTTTCTGTGACCTTTCAGATTTAAAACAAATTGTTCGGTTTTAGGTATCCATACAGATTGGTAGTTTGAGAGCTAAAAGGATTTATAAATCAAAGACTAGTTTTATTTGAACTTTGTTTCTTTTAAATTATTTAATTAGATTCTTTTGTCGGCGTGTGATTTTTGCAGTCATTTTATGTAAAATCGTTTTTCATAAATTGCTTAATACTACCCATAGATACAGAGAAATTAAAGCCATATTCGAGCGGTCTCTTTCGTTTAAAAATATTTTCAAAAACTAGAACCAGTTTTAATACTACGTCATAGATTTTGAAAGCGCTCAAATAGATGATTTTAAAACAGTGATGTCACTAACGATTAAGGATTTGTGAGTGTAAATCTCTAGCGACAACATTTTTTGCCTCAAAAGAAGCTCATATATTACCACAGTTTTATGAAAAATGGATCGTTATATTTAGAATCAGACTAACCAGTTATTTTGAATTACAAGGTCAAGTTTTAAAAATTATAAACCTTCATAATTATGCATTTTCTATTTTTTCTTATAACCGTATTACAAAAAATCTTTTTTGATAATTAGGCATTCCAAACAAATGAATTACCAGTGGGCAGGTTTGGTATATCTAAGGGTGGCGACATATGGTGTATTCTATCTACTTTACGTAAAATCATGAATAATGGATTACATTTAAATATTTTGTCAAACAATAAAAATAATATTTAAAAAACCCATTTCTTCATAAATTGGTAGGCTTGGCGACTACTACTTTAAATAAAAATAGCGTCCAAGTTGCAAGACTATGTCGCTACCCCCCTTAGATATACAAGAATTTCCCACTGGCACCTATTAGGCATTCCAAACTGAATGGCTACCAGTGGGTTTTGACGGGTTATGATATGGCAAAATTATGGCAATCCTCATTGCGTTCGGTTTGCCACGTTCCTTTAACTCCTTTAACACTTTTAACTCCAAACGACTCTTTTAGCGTTCGGTTTAGTCCGATTAGTGACAGTTTAACACGCTTAAATGTCATTTAAAAGCACTCTAAAATTTGTCCCGCTCCAGCCCCTGACTGACCGAACTCGCCTCCTGTAGGCTGGTGATTTGACAAGGTCAATGAAATAGATAGTTACATAGATTGATCATTCATATTTTTCAAAATAAACATAAGCTTATGCTTTGAAGAAAAAATGTAAGAAATTATTTTTTTTTAAATATCTAAAGGCTAAAAATTGGTTTTAAAACACATTTTTGCTAAACCGATTTAAATTAATAAATATTTGCCAGGCAATATGGCCGCTCGTAAACGATCAGCTTTGAGCAATCTATATAACTATATATGTATCATTGACCCTGTTAATGACAGCATGACAACAGGGTTGCCATATCTAAACTGTCATTACCCACTGGTAGCCATTTGGACAGGTCGTTGAAATGCCTAATTGTTTGACAGGTCGTTGGAATGCCTAATTAATTTTAATGCATGATCTTCGATACTATTTTTGACATTAATGACATTTCTATTTCCTTGAACCGTTCTCGATGAAACGTTTCAAAAACAGATGCAGCTGGTTTAAACCTATTTCAACGTGACGTCATTGTTTGGTCACTCGAATGGGAATAGTTCAAACCGTTTTCGAACCCCATGAAATATATTTAAACCAGTGGACCGTTCGAATATGGCTTAAATTTGTATTTGGTAGGTTGTGAGAGAAATGAACTCATTTTTGAAGTTGCTAGCTACAGTAGTTCAGGCCTAAAATTAAAAGAAGAATTTTGGTCTGCGACAAATTTGGGCATCCAGTCCAACAAAATTTTCTATGCCACTAACCTTTCGATCCAATAGCAGACCACATTTTTAATAACCGGCTTATAACTGTGGGAGTAGAGTTTTAAATTAAATTGATCAAATGAAATATATTCAAACTCTAATCCCTTACCCATTATCCAAAAGAAAATTTCATTTTTTAAATTAATGGCCTGAAAGTTTTTGATAATTGACTGTTACTGGCTAATTGTGAAGCTAACGGCCAATAGTTCCAACATTACTCAAAAAAGTAGAGTAGATTAAAAAAATATAAAAGTCAAAAATGGTAATGAAAAAAAAAAAAAAAATATAGTCAAAAATGGTAATGAAAAAAATATTTGTGACTGTTGGAACAACAAAATTTCCAAAACTTATTGATGCGGTTACTACAGAAGATGTTTTAAACACAATTAAATCCTTGGGTTACAATTTTGTTCAAATTCAGACTGGTAAAGAGTTTTCCAAAGTGCACATAGCTCCGGATTTACCTTTGTCATACAAATTACATTGCAATGGCGAAAACGGCCAGATTATACTAAAATTTGATGATCTGATTTTAAAATACGAACCGTACTTTGAAAATTTCGAAGAAGAAATTGTTAACAGTGATTTAGTTATAAGCCATGCTGGTGCTGGAACTTGTCTAGAAGTACTTCGAAAGAAGAAAACATTGTTGGTGGTAATAAATGAAGACTTGATGGACAACCATCAAATAGAACTAGCAGAAGAACTTCAATCCAGGGGTTATTTATATTATAGTACCTGTGACACATTGAGTCAAGTGTTAAAAAAAGATTTTTCTAAACTAAAAGATTATCCTCAACTAGAAAAAAATATATTTGCAGAGTATCTAGACAAGAGTATGGGATTTATATGATTTTTTTTTATTAATCATATCTTGTATAAGTTTATAACTTGTTCTGTCCAATCCACAAGTTTAAATAGTTAATTAGATAGCTGATAAAGACTTCATATATCTTAGATTAAGGTGCTAACAAATGATCTAACAAGTAGTCAAATTATTTTTTTTACTTTTGGCACACTTTTTATGATTTAATCTATTCCTATAAAAATGTAAGTTTCATTAGTTATTTTCATAATTAATTCATTGTAGAAGTAAAATCATGCAGCAAACATTTTTCACAATTTTAATACACAATCGCTTAGCAAACTGATAAATTTCCTTGTTGTACATTCAGCTACAATAAAATTAGGTATCACAATAAAAGGTTTTGTCATTTCATACATTTAATAAAAAAGTCCCAATTTTTTTGAAGATTTGATATAAAAAACTAGTTTGATAAATATTTTTCCAATAACATTAAAAACATACTTAATTTTATAGCTTCAGAACAAAAATAGTTCACAATTCAAGTCTTCATACTATATGTACACACAAACAAACAAAAAATGAGATGCAACAAATATTTTATTTAAACCAATTTCTTTGCTTCAAAGAATGTTTTCAAGTGTCTCATCTGCCAAGTTCCCATAATAAGTAGAACAGCTGTTTGGGTAACAGACCACCAAAGTACTCTTGAATTAGTACTTTCACTAGTTTGTCTAAAACGTTCTTCACGGAACTAAAATAGATTCAAACATTATTTTCAGCCAATAAAATATGTCATAAGTGTAGTAGTAGAATAATTTAAAACATTGACAAATTTACTGTTTTTTAATATGAAACACAAGACTACCTAGTTTTGTTTTACAATACAAATATTTTATGTAGTAAATAATAACAAATAAACTAAATATCCTTCCAATATTTATATAATACTAACCCTTTGATAATTCTGTTCTTTTGTTATCTGATCCACTTGATCAATCAATTGTCGAACTCTTAATTGCAATTCAGAAAGTTTTTCTTTCTGGACAATTTCTCCATAATTAATAGCATGTTCTCCAACTTGTATGTCCAAGTGAACTCTTAATTGGGATCCACTGAACCAAGCAGTGCTGTTAGAGTACATGCAGATAACATGTTCACCAGGTAAATGGGAGGTGAAAAATATTTTCCCTTCAGCACTGTATACACGAGACAAGATAACCTTATCATCTGGATCTCTGACTTCTACATGCATACCAATTCCAGTTGATGATGGCATAAAACCTCCACTCCTTGGATCATATAGCTCAACTTTGTAGTTTACTAAAATATATTCATTTTTGCGTGATTTTAACTGTATAAAATAATAAAAATGTATGCTAAATTAAATTCGAACTAACCTACAACATTAGTTTCATCTGGAATTTCTTCTATAAAACATTTTCGTTCGGTCTCTCCAATATGAAAATATAGCGCAGAACATGCATTGAATAAAACAAAAAATGTAATTAACGAAATATATACGGAGTTTTTAAACATTTTGCAAAATATACTTGTGTTTATTTCTAATTTACACACGTCACCCAACACCCAACGTCACCTTTTGGATTTTTTTTGATGACAAATGACAAACTTAATTGAAATGGAGTTGAATCGATTACTACAGAACTTTTCGATTCTAAAGATTGTGTCAGCACGTTGGTAGGATTCAGCAGTGAATATGAGGAATGTGAATACATTTGGCAACGTCGTGTGAAAATTCCTTAGGAAAATTCTAAATGCTAATGACCTGTGAAGTAGTTCAAATGTCCACGCATGTGTAGGACTATTTGTTCAATTTTGACTTGCGCAAAATTATTGAACATAAACAGTCTTGAACACTGTGCAGTGCAAGTGCACGAACAAATCAATCTCCTTCTCCTTACAAAAAAAATCCCATAAAATTCTTTAAAGAGAGTGACATATTTGTGATTAGTTCTAAAGTCTTAAACCGTCAATTGTCTCTCTTTGTTCAATTCATCGGCATCTTGGTGATCCTCTTTTTAATTTAAATTGTAGACTGATCGCGAAACTTCATTACGAACAAACTTAAAAAAAAACAAACATGAAACAAACACAAAGGTATAAGAAAATGGCGCAGTAGTTGTTTTGTTCACGTACCAGTTAAATCACTTAATTTTTTTGTTTAAAACTTCGTAAAAAATACAAACATTATTTCAATGACTCCAATGAAAGAGGCATCGCCGCCAGTATCGGCTATGGCCACCCCAACTAATAGTAGTGGAAATCTTGTTGATGAATTCGAAGAGGCGTTTCAAGTAAGCATAATTTCAATTCCGATTAAATACATTGTTTTAAATCATTAATTTTAGCACTGTTTGAATGTATTAACTAAAGAAGAAGCACTACCAACATCGGACAAGGATGAAATTAAAGTAGAGGTAGAGCAAACTACCCTTCGTTTTATAGATTTGGCAAGACAAATGGAAGCCTTTTTTCTACAGAAAAGATTCCTTTTATCGGCCTTAAAACCTGAGATGAATGTTAAGGAAGACATTAGTGAACTTAGATTAGAGTTAGGAAGAAAAGAAGAGCTACTTAAGAGACATTATGACAAAATCCAAGTATGGCAGAATTTGTTAGCTGACTTACAAAGTTATTCAAAAAGCCCAGCACAAGGCAGTGCTACACCAGGTAAATTTTAAATTCCTTAAACCATTATCATTTCATAAAATTTTTCTGAAACTTTATTTTAGGGGGTGGTTCAATACCACCATCACCTCTGCCCAGTATCCCTGGTAACCAGACACCCAATCAGATTATGCCAAATATATCAGCCACTATGCAACAGCAGTTACAGCAGCAGCAGCTACAACAGCAACAACAACAATTGCAGATGCAACAAATGCAGCAGATGCAACAGCAACAATTACAACAAATGCAGGTAGATCGGCGTTAACATTAGTTTTAGTTCATTAAAATGCCTTTCATGGCCTAACTTTTAATAATAGAGGATTTAGTCTGAATATGATGCAGCTACAGATAAAAACTTTTACTTTAATTTTAACTACTTGGAATTAGATGTATTTAATTTGCATTAAAAGACACCTATCAGGTTTCATCTACTATGGTAAAACTGATAAGCTTTATTTTTAAGGTCATGAATTTATCTTCTACAATTTTATTGTGCATTGAAGATAGTTTGACAAACTACTACTCAGTGAAATATGATTTAAGAGTTTGATTCTTAAAATATATTAGGTGTTTACTTTCTTTTTAAATGCTTAGAATTTGCCATAAAATTCTTAGCCATTTTTTCTCACATGTTTTTATATTTTGAGATTATTGATGATTTATCTGAAAATATTTGCAACATATTTTTTTATTTATATTCAATTCAGGATGCATTTATATTCATAACTCATAAATATTTTAACACAATTTATATCTCCTATATCCTGTATGTCCAGTCAAAATAAGCACTAAGTACATCTACTTATTTTTAGTCGTGACATGATTCTTTCCATGTAAAACATTCTAAATATTCATCATCAAATAGTATTCAGCTAATAATTGGATGGCATTATGCAGAAAGATACCAACTCACAATATATCTGATATTGAATTGGTAAGACCCTACCAAGCCTCAGTTAATTATATATTGTTTAAAACTATAAAATGCTAACCCACATCCTACAGCTTTTTTAAACAAACAAAAACTTTAAGAGCTGATTATCTCAGTTTGTTACTATTGAGGGATTGGTATCTTTCTGCATAATGCCATCCAATTATAGTTAAGAGTTCTAAGGCTAACTCTAGGGCTTAATGCTTTAATAATTTCTGCTTCCATTTCTATTCGCGTTCAAAGTTTGCTTGCCAAAACTGTGGACTTATTTGTTAAAATACAAAAATTTAAATAATACATCCATGAGTCAGTGCAGCCTTTGTTCTTACCTTCCAAACAATTATCTATAATTAACCAATATAATTACAAAATCATTTTTATAATAATAATAATAATAATAATAATAATAATAATAATAAAAAAATATATGAAATACATATTTGGACTAGTTCCTCTATATATTGTTTTATGGGTATAGATAATATTAAAGTAAAGTACCTATTTGAAAAACAACATTTTTCCAATCAATATTGTCTAAAACCCATAAATAAAAGTCTAACTGACAAATTTAATTGACTTTTTCTCAAAATCTCGTGATTTTTCTTTCCTATGGTAATCTCATTTTTGATTTTTGTAAATATTGGATCAGTTTAGATTTTATTGTGATTGTTAAAACGGATCTCTATAGTTTTTTTATTTGTTTTTTAACAGTTTTCTTGTCAAAAAATATACTTCAGTTGCATTCATAATATTGAATAATTCAGTCGATTATTTTAAAATTTTCATTTAGAAAAAATAATCTTTGGTAAGAGATGCCTTAAGCTGGATTTATAAACTTCATTCAGTTCTGGTTCAGTTCGAGTTCAACATAAAACAGAATGTGCATAGTCATATACAAATTTCGGCCATTGCTGTTCGTGCTCAGTTTGAGTTCCGTTGACACTGAGATATGACCAACTTTTATGTTCGCTGTTTGGCCGCGAACGTCGAGCCAAAGAAAAACACGTATCTGATCATTTGCCCACTCATGCGTCAACGCAATCCTAGGTTTGTTTTGGATAAGAAATAATGGATTAATAATTATTTTATAACCAACACCAACTACAAATATAATCAAAACGAAATCACAAATATAATCATTTTGTGAATTTTGGTGATTATTTCATTTGATTGGTTTAAATATGCGGGCCAACCAGATTCGCAGCGACAAATGAAGCGCCAACAACTATAAATTGGATCCAGTAAGAACTCACCAATGTGAGTGTAGCATGAGCTGAACACCAACTGAACATTAAAACTTCTTCTTATGGTCCAATGATTTTTGTTGTAAAATGAACATTTTTGACTACCTGTTATTGAAATTTGTATATGTATCTATTAATTCTATATGCGAAAAATTTTGGTAAAGAAAAAAAATTGGTTTTAATGAAAATTTTGAAATAATCTTATGATATATCATTCTTACATTATTTGCAATAGGTTTATAAAGCCTTTAATTTATACTTATTTCTGGAGCATCTTACATAGTGTGAGCATTTTGTTGTGAATTTTTTGGCAAGACTTGAGAGAAAACTTAAGTGCTGCTCTATGTCATTTTTGTATATTTTTGTATACTAACTCTCAGGGTTTTTTAGAAAGTGGCAATATAATTTATTGATTTTTATTTAAACGATCAAATCAATGTGATATGTACGAGGTAGCTTGAAAAAGTTGTACTAAATGTATACAAATGTCTCCTTGCTCAGATGTGCCTTCATTAGATACTTTTTATTTCTTAGATTTTGTCTTAAATAAATGTAAAGAAGAATGTTGCCAATCTATAATATCATTTTAATTTTTTTCTTGTTTTAAATATACCCTTATGGGGGTAGTATAACATTAAAAATCTAATGTGTATGGTGTGAAAAATATGATAATAAAATTTTCCAAAATTTTCTTTGTTTTATTTAATTGTTGCTGCTCACTGTCTAAAAACCAGAGGGTTGGTATTTACAAAAATGTACAAATAAATTTTATGAACTTGTTCATGAAATATACTGTCTATGTTATTTAATAATAAATAGTTTTACAGTGCAGGTACTTATAAAAAACCCTCTGGGCTATTCAGTGTGTCCATTTAATGTGTTTCCATCTTTTCTCTAATCTTAGAATAGGTATAATTACTCTCTAAAATAACCCAATTTTATCTAGATTGAGGAAAAAATTAAAAAGATGACCTTCAAAAGCTAGAAAAAATGGAATTTTGAAATAAAAACAAAATTATATCTTAATTAGGGTGTAGTTCAAAGCCCACTGGTACTGAAACTCTATGCTTATTTTACCCCTCACAGTTTCTCCCCCATCAGGTTAATATTCTTGATGAATTCAAGAATATGTCTGATGATCGCTTACACGATTTCTTCAGGTTCCAGATATTGTACCCTGAAATGCCATTCCCGTTCCCATTTAAGGTTCTTAAAGGCGGGTACAGATCTGAGCACGTACGCGTATGAGGCAAACCAAGGCCAAACCGAATGCCTCGTGTGCGACACATTTTGTACACGCGAATGGTAGACGCATGAGGCACTGATCCAGTGAATTCACGAATACAGAACCGTACATCCAGGACACTCGTATAACTAAATAAAAAAAATGGAGTGTCTATTTTATTATTTTATCTTGCTCTCCATAAGATATCGCGCTGATTATATAAATTCAGGAGAAGCAAAACGTTTCCCTGACTCCACTTCATGCAAAATAAACCTTGAAAACACGCTATAATCTGTTCGATACACATTCCCCATCCAGACTGAGCACGTACTGTGCATTGCCTCCCTTTGATGTACCGCTCAGGGCGAGGCCGTACGGCGTACAGAACGAGGCAATTTGCCGCGCCTCGGAAGCCCGTCCACATCTGCATGCTCATGCATCCGACTTGCCTCATACGCGTACGTGCTCAGATCTGTACCCGCCTTTAGACAGGCTAGTCTTTGTACCTTGTCTAATTTTCTGTTACCTGTTATGCTTTTAGTCTTGTGCCACCATATGACTGATGAGTAAGTTATAACAGGTACTACAACCATAGTATAAAGCCAGTGCATCATACTTTGCTTAAGCCCCCATGTGTTCCCTACCATCCGTCTACAGGCCCATAGTATTCTTAAAGCTTTTTCTGTTGTTTTTCTATATGAGTAATTCCAAGATAATTGACCTCCTTTGCCACTTTTTAGATGTTGTCCCCATATATAAAGCTCCTTCATTCGTTGAAGGTTCCTTTTTCTTGTGAATGCAACAACAGTGGTTTTAGTCGGGTTTGTGGACAAACCCTCTTTTAGGCACCATTTTTTGACGATATTTAGTGCATGCTGCGTTTTTTAAACAACAGCCCCAAATTTACTGTTTATAACGATACTTATGTTGTCTGCAAAATTATATAAGAATCCACATTCATGTTTTGAGATTTTGTGTAATTAGGGTCCTACTCGATCAGTGACTTTCCTGAACTTCCAAATTTATTTTTTTAATTCTTGTATCAAAATCTACAATATTTACAAAATTGATATAATTAATGATTGCATTTATCATTGAAGTTCTATTGGTTTAATTATTTCAGATAATCCACAGATGCTTCTCTTAGATTTTCATTTAACACATATTTTGATGCACAGTGCTTTAATTATCAACTAAATTTACCAAAAGAAGGTCAAATGTTATATTTACATACCATATTAAGTATATTAAAGTCAATGCTTTAGAAAGTACACTTTCCATCTTCTGAACAGGTCAATATTTGTTTATTTCTTGTAAACATGGTATGAACAATAGATAAAAAGGAAAAACTGGTAAGTACAAACACTTAATGGAATGTTTCTAAAGAATAGACAGTACAGTGAAATAAAAACTTTTTTTTTCATAAATGCAATAGTTTCTCATTTTGAGATAAATAAATTACTCGTATTTTGTTTAAAGATTATGGTCATTATGACATCCACCTTACCTCTTTATATCAAGATTTATGTATTCTTCTGTTAGTTAACCTGCAACACACCCGCTTTTCTGGTGGGGTCTTCTTTTCACTGAATATGTCTCAAACACCTGAGTCGTCTTTTTTTTTTTCAGGTGTCACTTCTAAATTACCTCTCAATAGATTAATTTCTAATGACCTTGCTCATCTATCCTCATCTCAGTAATATATATTTTCAGCCAATTTCTTCCTCACTGCACAACAATAACCCACAGTCTAGGTCTGTTTCCTTTCATTACTATTTTAAATATTATTTGCAGGTGGGTCCAGGTTTAAGTGGGGGTGGGGTAGGTCCTGGAATGTTGTCACCACAACAAGCATTATTTATGCAACAACAGAGTATGGGATCGTCGAGAGGACCTTTTGGACAACAAGCTCCTGGTGGTGTATTACAGGGTCCTTTAGCATATCTGGAGAAAACTACAAGTAATATAGGTATTTATTAAAAAAATCTCTTTTTAACTATAAGAAAAATAATGTGTCCACCATATTTTTTTAAGTAATGCCAATGCTTCACAAACTTGAAAATTTAATGTCTCAGTATTCTCACCTTTCGGTCTTTCATTCAAAATCAAATCGTTTCTAGTTTCTTATGCTACTAGTTTGCCCGTGAGGGCATCAGTCTCGATAAGATGGGAACCACCAATTTAACCTCTCGAATTAGAACTTTAATTTCTGGACCATTATCGAGCAGATCTTCCTTTATTTCATCTACATATTCTACAAGTGCGTGAAAACGATTGAATAATGTCAGTGTAGAGACGATGTTCAAGCCAGTTCACAAAATATATTTAAGAATAATAAATTAGTCATAATCTCATTCGTGTATCAATTTCTTGATAAAATAGGCAAATAACAATGGCCCTTTGCCAAGATTTTGTATTTTATAGATTTGGAAAATACACTTCCAACTAAACATTTATATACGACAGACATCGTTAATAAAAGTGCTTGTGCTTTTATGAACACAAGATTTTTTTGGTTTATAAGTTTATATACAGTGTGTCTGAAATTGGTGATGTATGTTATGCGATCTCTGAAACTGTTAGAGATAGAAAAACTGTTAAATGGGGAAAGTTTTAGACAATTCTGTTTATAATTCAATGCCGTTTAGTTTGAGATTTTTCTCTTTTGGTTTTTGAGATATTTTGAAAAAACTAAAATGACGCATTTCCGAAAATACCCTGTATTTTTTTTATTTATGAAATTTTCTAAAATCTGTAAAAACTTTCTTGGAGCTACTTTTTACGTAGAAAACAAGTGTGTCGTCAGATTTTATTTGCAACGTTTCGGTTTCTTGGAACCGTCATCAACTTTGTTTTTTCATATGGGCGCCATATTTAATTTTTACTGTTTTGAAAAGCCAAAGCCCCTTTTTTTACCTTCCTAACCTTAAGTATAATTTATAACCACCTTAACTTAACGCCGTAGAAACTTAACCTAAGATATAAAAATAAAGTCTATTTATAAATGTCCGTAACGTAAGAGTTGAACATGCGTGTTGATTTTAGAGATTATCAAATTACTGATAACCTTATGAAATAAACAAGTGTAAACTATGTACCTAACCTCTAAATAAAACTTATAAATTATGATTTTGCTATATAGAAAGAATATATTAACTACTTTAAATGCAATAATATAAAAATATAATAAAACAGAATAGTTTACCGAAGATGTTGATTGTTTTTGAGCAATAATGAGAATTTAATCTTTCCTAGCAAACTAGTTTTGTGTCTTATTTCAGTTCTAGACTTGATGTTTATAGGTATATGCAGCAACACTCATATCTCATAAATAGTTTATCCCCAATAACATAAACACAAATCATTCATGATAATGTATGTCCATCAAAAAGGAGAATGATAGTTTACAAATGGCATTTGTCTATTCATTTATAAAAATAAATAAAAAGAGAATAATTGACAGTTATCACATGCTGAGCTCAGAATTATCTCATTGGCTAACCGTAAGGTATTAAGTTAAGTTGTTAAGTTAAAAGTTGGCGAACTTTCTACGGTACGTTAAGTTACGTTACGAACATTATAAATAAGTATACGTAAATTCAATATTTCAACTTCTTACGTTAAGTTCTTAAGTTACGTTACGGCGGTTATAAATTAAGCTTTAGTAAAAAAAGTTAGGTTATGTGTTAAAAAATCAAAAATTATGATTTTGTTTTTAATTTGGCAACGTCGCCCTATAAAACAATAACACTTAAGAAGATCCTATAACATTTAATCTCTAAACTGATAATATCACACTCTTACAATGTAACAAAGAATAACGTTAAAAAAACCATAACTTTTGAAAAATACGTTAACAAAGTCAAATTATTATTTTTCAGAACACCCAAAAATCATTTAATTATTTGGAATAACCAAAAACTCGGTAAATAATTTGATGTACTTAATACATTTTCTCACAATACATTAATACCCTAGTAGGCTTTGGATTTAAGACAAATAAGGAATTATAAATCTGTCACAACTGTGAAGGTTTTTTTTATTTGAAAGCATTTTATGTTTTTGCTCGGGCAGTGTGCAGAATGGCAGAAAATTTCTCGAACAAAGAGGAATGCGGATAGAGCCGCCAATAATTATTTTGAAGATTATCCGGATAGACGACAACCCAACAAAAGGTATTTCTCCACACTTGTAATGAATTTACTTGAATTCGGAGCTTCTGGAAAACCTCTGCCTAAAAATTATGAGAAGGATAATGAGAATCACAACAGAAATATTCAAGAATATTTTCATAAAAATCCTACGTCCTCTACAAGGATTGCTGGCAGAGATTTAGATATTGCTAAGTCAACAGTTCATGACGTTTTAAAAAACAACATTATCGTCCGTATAAACCCACCATTGTACAAGGACTTCGAGAAGGTGACTTTAACAGAAGAGTAACATTGTGTGGACGGATGAAACTTATGTCACAAATTGCGGAATATTTAACAAGCACAATCGCCATTACTGGGCTACCGAAAACCCTCAGTTGCGGGAACAGCGTAGATTGCAAGTTCGATTTGGCTTTAATGTTTGGTGCGGACTTTCAAGATATTTTATACTTTGTTTTGCAAAATATTTATCGTCTCCCTTTTATCCTTTAAATTATTTTAATATTCCTGCCGTAAGAAGAATTTATTTTATTAGGAAACCGACTAATTGGTCCCTTTATTTATGATCACACATTGACTGGACAAAGATACCTTGCAATGTTGCAAAATGAAATAGTGCCAACAATTAGGGAAGTTGTTCCAGATGAGTTCCATTATGTATGGTTTCAACATGATGGCTGCCCCGCCCATAATTCCAGGGAAGTACAAACTTTCTGAAACATTTGGTGAAAAAATAATATCCAACAGTGGCCCAGTGCGGTGGCCTGCGAGGTCTCCAGACCCCTCCCCATTAGACTTTTACTTGTGAGGACATGTTAAAAATGAAATTTATGAATTTGATCCCCCAGAAGCAGAGAAGTCCTCGAGCAGCGTACGGCGGGATGTTCTGTCGAATGTTAACTGTAACACAATTTTCAAAACAGTAAAAATCCAATATGGCGCCCATATGAAAAAACAAAGTTGATGATGGTTTTAAGAAACCGAAACGTAAATAAAATCTGACGACACAGGCGTTTTCTGCTCCAAGAAAGTTTTTACAGATTTTAGAAATTTTCATAAATAAAGAAAATACAGGGTATTTTCGGAAATGCGACATTTTATTTTTTCAAAATATCTCAAAAACCAAAAGAGACAAAATCTCAAACTAAACGGCCTTAAATTATAAACAGAATTGTCTAAAACTTTCCCCATTTAACTGTTTTTCAATCTCTAACAGTTTCGGAGATCGCAATACATGCATCACCAATTTCGGACACACTGTATAAGTTCTTAGGACCGTGATTCATACCGTTTTCTTTTCTTTGGATTGCCTCGTCTGCGTCAAATTAAAACACTGAATTTTGTATTTTATTATGAAGAACTGTTTTACATTTAATTTGATCTTTTAAAAAAAGTGACCTAAATGAAGGACCGAATTATATTTATATAGAATCAAATTAATAGCAATAGATGACATGATAAGTGTTATTTTAACAGATCACATTATAATAATAAAGTACTTGTATATTCTCTCACATAGATGCTGCGTAAAGTCGAATAAATGTTCAAGTTTTTATCGAGAAGTATATTTTCCGAACCTTTGAAAATATTTCAATTTCGATGGAATTTCTTCGGAACAGCTTTACTTTTTAAGGAAAATCTGATTTCGCAGGTATAACGGATGGTCGAAGGTGACGCGGACGCGGGAGGGGGCGTGGAAGAGGTAGGGGCAGAGGCAGAGGGCGCGGCCGCGGTGGCGGCACTTTGCCCGATTACGTCTCCCCCTAATACCCCCTCCCCGACCGGGCGTCCGCGATGCTCGGCGACGATGCTGCTGCTTTTAATACGATGCTCTTGGAGGAGGAAATTATGGCAGCGACAATGGGAGGATCTTTCTTCTCCGAGATGTATGCTTAATTGGTCGATTTGTACAGTCAAATGTAACACTAAAATGCAGTTTGTGGTTAATTATGCAAGCGAAACAGTAAATTGCTAAATGAATATCGTCAAATGGTGATTTGACTAATTACTCAAGTCTTTTAAGTCCAAAAATCGACTATTTTGGTTAAAATACTACGGCAACGATTTTTTCTATAAACATTTTCATAATTTAATATTAACATTTTCTTGTGGTTAGTATATTATTTGTTTGGATGGGAAATTGAAAACATGTGTACCAAATATAAAAAAATAATACTGAGTGGTTCGTTAGATATGGCGCTAGAAGAAAATGATCCTAAATCGATAACACACAATTATAAAGACACTACAAGACTCATCAAATATTTAAAACTACCTCGGTCATCTCTATTCACTGTTAACCTATTTCCATTTTTTACTAAATAAAAGCCTCGCTCCCCTCGGCAATCTGCGTGCAATATGTGATTTTTGTCTTGTTCAACAATGTCTGCTCTTCCGAACTTTCTTTTATTATTCCACCTTTAGCCATAGTAACTCGCAAGTCTAGTATAAACGTCTAGAACCGACATCCTTTATATCTAGAACAGCTAAACTTTGGAACTCCCTTCCCCAAGAAGATTTTTCATTTTCTCCAATCTTTTAAGATCCGCATTAATAAACAATCCCCAAATTTAAAGAGACCATCCGCAGTGCATAGTATAATGCTGATAACATTTTAGTTCAATTAGATCTACATTTGCATCGACCTAGTGTTACCGTTTTTCAGGATCTCAGATTGTTAGTGAAAAGTCACATTTTTGATATGTTATTTCTGACCTCATTAAAAAACTGTTTACAAGAAAAATCGCTACCTGCGTGTTTTTGCAGAAAAATACGGCTAGACTATAAAAGTATGTTGTATTTTGATAGAGGTGTTTATCATAAAACACCATTTGTACAAATTCCTTATATCTGAGAATGAAAGTACTGTGGAAAGGTTATCTATAATATTTTTTAAGAAGTGTTTGTTTAACTATGCTAGGTAAATTTTGATATAAGAATGATTGAAAAACTGACCGAATTTGTTTATGACGACCATTACTATTAGATGTTGATATTAGGAAATGTAGATTTAGTGAAAATCTATTACTATTGGTTTTGTATGTTGTATATTTGCGAAAATTGTGTAGGTAAAATAATTGAATTTTAGTGTTAATTTGGTTGTACAAATAAACATAACAGAGGAACAATTTTCTATATTATAATTAAATACAGTTAAGTACAACAATTGATAGGGATTGTATTTTTTTTTTAAATTGGAATTTTTCCATTTATGTAACATTCTATAACTTGCAACATTCCATTTTATTGTTTGATTAATTTCTTTTGAAGAATGAAGTTATTGATTACTATTTCTTGTCTTTATACATTTTATAATCCATTTGCGCACTTTTAAACCCTTTTCAATCTTCTTACTTCGTGTTATCACAAGATTATCGACATCAGAAACATACCCGATCTATTCCTAAAATAACGTGTCAATTTTCTGTCGTTTCCTTCTATTTAAGGTTGTTGCGTATCTTTATTTCTCAAGGGGTCTTGGGTCAGAAAACAGGAATCGATTTTCGTGGATATGTTTCCTTCCTGGAAGCCTTTTTTCAAATTTGAGAGAAAATGGTATCTGAACCCGTATTATATGTTTTCCGTAATTCTTATTTTCAAACACCTTACTGAAAGAGTTGTTTGTTCCTCTTCGGCTAATCACGTGGTGAAATTATCCTAAGAATTTTAATTGTCTTTAAATAAACCGAGAGAAACAGATAATGAGTATTCACTTGACGTTGACGTATGACATTTCTCATGAAATCTTGAGAGAAATGAGTTCTCCCTTATTTTGAAATCACCAGTTTTGTACAACATTGCAAATTACATCATTTCCAAAGCAAAACAAGAAATAATTATTTATGCAATTGTGTTTAATCGGCCAATATTGAAAGTTGTTCCTGTTCTAATTTCGTTTTAGTTCTTTTGTACTTCTGAATAAAAACAATTGATAAATGTTAAAATATTTTTGGCAAATACTTTAAACAATTAACACGACAGCTGTATAATAATGCAATTATGTATTTTTTAAATTCATGTTACTTCGAAAAACTTCTTAAAACCATTGTTTTGGTTTGTCTACAGATATATCGTTTGATTTTGTACATGGTTTGAAAATTTTATCTTTTTAAATGGCAGAATTGATTATTATTTTAGGTATATATTTATAAACCAAACTCAGATGAGTTCGTTTTTGAACGAAAATCAAAGTTTGGTTATATCACGAGAATTTAGAGATGAGGGGTAGCGAATCTGTGTAATTGGGCAGTGAAATACTAAAATCACAGTTATAACTGAAACACAATTTCCAAATCAAATGTCAACTTGAAAAAAAAAATGGTCAATTGACAAAAGTACACAATAAATATCCAAAAAGGTTTAAAACAATGATCGTCATTTGACTATCCCGTAAAATAATTATAATAAGCCCAAATAGTGTAAAAATCCGAAAAATACAATTTGCAAATCGAATTTCGATTCAAAAAAAAGGGTCAAACGACAAAAACGTACAATAAAGGTCCAAAAAGGTTTAGAATTTTATTTCGACTTATGTAATAATTATTATGAGCATAAAGAGTGAAAATTCAAAAAATACAATTTCTAAATCGATTTTCGTCTTGGAAAATACCGTCAATCGACAGTAATGCACAATAACGATCGATTAAAACATTTTTTTTTAATTCGAAATTCCATTTAGTAATTGGATTTATTTTTGGAATATTTTGTGGTTAAGATAGCTTCAGGAATAGTAGATGAAAATTTCACGATAATTTGAAACATCAGTTTTACAACCAGTCTTAAAGATTGAAACGATATTTGAATATATTCGACGTTTAGGAAAATTCATTGTCAACACACCTTTGAAATATTATTAAGGTATTGACAGATTTAGGTGCCTAATTATCGCATGCAAGCCTCGAAGACATAATTTACAAGTGGTTCCTGGGGATAACTTATGGAAAATTCGATTTTCCTTGACAGAAAAGGTTTCTGTTGCCCACATTTTTATGCAAGCCGTGTTCACTAAACGATTAATTAATAGAACTTAGCTTCGCCTAACCAAAGAGCAAGTGTTTAAAGGGTTGAAATAAGGGCGTGATATTGTAAAAAAAATATCTAGATTTTCACCGATTTTTTCAGACAAGCCTATTGTAAGTTTGAAAACGTACATCTCCATTAGCTTGAAAAACATATCGGTTTGAATGGCGCACATTTTGGGGTCAGAAAATTTAACGGAATTTTTTTTCGATTTTTCTTACAAGCCTTTAATTCTATAGAATGTTATTGATGCCTTAGACCAGTCATACTTTTTCCTTCAGGCCACATACATATGTTTGCTATGTTACATGGGCCTTAATATTTTTGGATGATTACCCTTTATATAGACCATCCATTTATATTACTTAGTGCAAACCTCTAATAAATAAAACACAAAACATAAATATATCCCGTCGGGTTACTGCAATAACAAGATAACTAACGCTGTTCAAAGGTTTAAAATTAAATAAAAAATCAGTGAAAGCTTCAAACTGTTTAATAAATAATAACTCCAATGAAAAAAAGGCATTCAAAACATAATTAGTCTTCACAAAGTATAAACTAAGAATCTATTGATTGGTAACAAAAAAAAAGTCACTTAGCTTGTTTTAGCTGTCTACATACAGGTTATAATATTCAATGTCTGTGTCACTATCTTCAATGGAAGGTTCAGGTAGTGTGTATTTAACATTATTGGATACAGGTAGATTGTGATAATAATGGTGAAATTCATCAGGTGTAGCACCTGATTTGCAAAGTTTTAGTAAATCTTTCTTTTTGGCATTACTAATGTCTTCCACTTTTTGTAAGTATTTTTAGAGCTTTTCACCCTTTCATTTATTTATTTATTCTTTATTAACGGGGATTTGCCCCTATCTCATTCAAAAAAATATAAAACTTTTATTTGTTTAAAAACTATGATTAATGAAATAACTATCATTAATGAAATAACTAACATTGATTAAAAGAAACGTAACATAATAAATATAATATTTCATGAGTTACACATTCGCACATTTTTTTCATCACTTACCAGTAAAACAATTTTTAAAGTTATGTAAAACTCGATAAAACATAAAAACGGTGAAAACAGAAAATGAATGCACACTTCAAATCCTTACCAGCACCGCAGGTCACTTTCAATTTTTCTTAAATTTTGCTTAGGTGATGCCCAATAAGTCTATTTTAAATTGGTTTATTCTATTCAGTGATTTTACAAGAGGAGGATTCATACCGTAAATAGTATTATGAATAGGAACATAAAACAAATTATGGTGTCGAAGCACCCTAGTTGGTACATTAAACTGTACCAACTACAAAAGCTCTGGACACATCAACATTTAATTTACTAGTTAGAAAATGATCCCTAGGTAAGAGCACAATCGCGCATCCGTCTGCCGGTAAGGATTGGGTTTTTCAAGCAATGTCAAAAGCTGTTGTTTTGGTGTTGTTTCGGTGATTTAAGAAGTGCTTCTAATCGTTTTAACGCGCAAACAATATGGAGACGAGCGTCAGCATCCCCGCTTGTTACAGTTTGACCAATCACTCGTTACAGCTTGACCAATCGATCATTGACTACGGCGATTCGGGCATCACGTGTAATCTATTGGGTTTTGAGGGTTAGCTATATCGTGAAAAAGAGATGGCTCTAGGCAAAACAAAACAAATGGCCCAGGCAAAATGTTGAAGTATTTCAACAAATAAATTCAACAATAATAAGTGTTTTGGCCTTTACCTTGTTTTGTCAGAAACACTATTAGGAATCGAACTAAATACATTTAGCAAAAATAAGTTTTATTTCTCTTATCTGGTTTTGGTAGACACATTATTAGCAACTGAACACAATGTTGTGATTATATTTCGGTATAAATGCCACTCATCTTGTTTGTGCATATTGTGAATGTATTAATATGGAGTTTGTATTTACCATTCGCGTATCATGAATATAGACTTCCTTCACACTTGTCTTGTTTATGCCGTATATATTATTTGAACTATTTTGGAGACAAAAGTGTACTTAACTCTAAAATGCCGAAAGTGAAGCTATCTTGTTTTTGCAGTAAACCGATGATCCAACCGTTTATTTAAAAATTAGCGTGATATTTAGCACAGTGACCGATGAATGTTTTCACGCATTTTGCTCAAGATTTTAACAACAGAAACCTATAGTTTTAAAAAGCACCTTAATAATAATGTTTCGGGCCGGAAAAGGCTATAATAAAATTGGCTAGACTATCGGATGTGGACGGAACAAAGGCTTGCGTCGGAAAGTTGCAGAAAAATTGTATGCAAATTGCCACCATTTTCTCACCCAAGCCGTTTGCATATGCTTAGAAAAAGTTTTTATAAGACTATATAACAATAGTGTTGGACATGGTCATCATATTAATTATACATAATTTCCACGATTTTCTCACACACACCATTTGCCATATGCTTAGAAAAACTGATTTTCAGACCATATAATGAAAGGCATAGGATCATATTAGGTATTTATTTAAAAAATAGCTGACAGAAAATCTAGAAATGTTTATAATTATGTTTTATATTATGAAAATATTCATATAAAAAATTTAAAAAAATATTTTAAAATTTTTTATAATGAAATTAATTTTATGAATAATTTTACAAACTATAACGTCGATGTTGATGCTATTTCCATCGTCTATTCCGTCTTCCTTTCCATCGTCTGCATCGTCCACATCTTCATTGTGATGATAATCTTCGAGAGCGTCATCTACATTATTTTCATTAACATTGTCCTCTGAAATTGCAAAATTAAAATAATATAAAATTGTTTACATACAACTGATGCAAACAAAAATGTATTTTTTCTACGATCACTATCAAAAGTAGACTTTTGCGCTTTGAAATACAACCGCAAAGTTGACATTTTCCGCGAATTGACGTTAAGTGACAGCTTTGTTGCTCGCCTAATTTAAATTAGATATAATATATTTCTTTTCAATAAATGATTTTCAAGCTATTTGTACGTAGTTTGATGTTTTTGTTTTATTATCCAAGTTAACATTGGGTGCGTTCACCAGACGTCAGCCGTTAACTTTAAGCACTAAACGGCTAGGCATTAACATCCGGCAGCAGATGGAAATTGGCTGAAAGCTCCGTTGACCGTTGAGTCTCTGTCTGTCACAAAACTGTCAGATTCGACTGTTGAACACAACCTTATAATTATTGGCTGATGCCGAAATTGCTGATCCTCGTCAGAAAACACCAAACTGTAGGTTGACAAATTTTCTTTATTAGATTCCATAATATGTACGTTTTAAAAATCAAGAAAACGCGCAACAATGAAAAGTCGAAATTAGATTGGGAAATTGTTTCTTAGAATTTGGACCCTCTCTAGGGGTCTTTTAAATTATTTTAGGGGGTGGTTAATTTTAATTTTAAACGTCTTCGGATTTTAATTGTGCCTTCCTGGCGATTTAATATTTTTCAAAGTTGAAATTAGTTTTTCTATAATTTACATTCATTATTATATTGACGTTTCCGTCTTTAAGGTTTTACATGTGGGTAAATTTTTAAAGCAAGTATGTAGTGAAACGATATATCTATAGATAATATACAAATGTTAATCGTTTCTAGTGAAAGAAAAAATAAATAATAAATTTATTAAAGAACCACTGTTGTTACTAAAGTAGAAGAACCAATTAAAGATGAAACAAGTAACATTTTTAAAGATGTGCCAATTATAATGAAGGTTTTTAGTTTTTCAAAACGTCGAAATGTTTTTGAAATATTCGTTACATGACGGAATTAAAATATAATCTCTAAAGAAATATTAGATCTAAAAAGTACAAAAGAACGACACATTTATAGTAGGTTAATTCTTATTCTTCATAGTTATTTAATATTTGTGAATCGACGCATTTTAAATTGGGTTTTTAAAACATGCGAAGCTTTTTCAAATCCATGAAGTGTTTCGATTGGCAAATTATCAGGGCAATATATATGAGTGAATATAATTTACTCTTAGGTTAAAATAATTTTTAGTATTTAAATGAAAGTTGTTATTGGTCAGTACTTTTGTTATATTTATTTGTTGATTCTTAATGTGCATAGTTCTAAACTTGCGTTTTTATCTTTTTTTATTATATTCTTTATACTGTTTTATTTGTACTTGCTGTCTCATTATGAGTTTTCAATGATTTCTGTGTCTGATGGAGGGTCCAAATATGTTTCTACTTTTGGAAATATCGACAGAAGTTTAATTTTACGAAATATCTAGATAATCGATCAGATGAGTGAGCCGGTAGCATAATTTTTTAGTTAACCTCAAAAATATAGGTTAAAATATCGTAATAGGCTTAAAGCTTGCTCGCCAAGGACATCTATTAGTATTCGATTGGTATTTCGAGTTCAGTTTTGTATATCTTGAATGTGAAACACAGGTAAAGAAAACTGCTATAATTGGAAATGCATTTGTCAAAAAATTATAACTATGTATTTGGGACAACAGCGAAATTTTGAATGGTATATGCCTGCCGTTCAGTTTCTTTTTAAATTCAGGGTAGCTGAGTGTCTAACATTGCCCACCCTGTATATTAAAGCCGACAAAAAAAATTTCCACGTCGCTTTCCATTTTTCTTTAAACTATTTAATTTGTGACTTTCAGATATTCCAAATTTTAAACAATCAGGTGTTGGACTGAGACAAAGACCAGCACATAAATTACACTCTATTAAATCGAATAATAAAGTTATTTTTTCCAACAAACTATGATCCAATTTTGCTTTTTTTATGTGTAATGTTAAGGTATTCAGAGACGTACAAAATTGTCATTTTCATTTTTCTTTCCAAAACAAAGATACAAAAAAAATTTAAGGGACCTAATAGTTGTATTTTCAGTCAGTTTATTTAAAAAATAAATTAAAAATTAAAAATCTACTGGGCGATATTTTTTGTACCAAAAATTAACCGAAGTGTCCTGTGAGCACGTCTCTAGAACTACTGTAACATGTCCAAAAGAGACTTCATAAAGTTGTCAACAAACTGTAAAAATTTAATTAAAATCTGTCGAAGCCTTTTTTTTTCATATTATTAAAAAACTATTTAAAAAAAAAATATCTTTAAAAAGAAACTAAATTTGACCATGTTTTATCCCATAAACTACCTTTATTTTTCGATAAACTATCAGCTAGTAAAATCCTGACGATATAAACTGTATACCTGTAAAAGTAGTCCTTCCTTTATCTCTGACCTTTTTGCCAAAATACATAGAAGACATACAGTTAACAATTTTTCATCCTTATATCTATTTTCAAAAAAACTTTAGGTTCAATAAGTAGTTGCATTTGTATTTTTGTTTCTTATACGAATCATTTGTAAAATATTTCCAAACTTTGGATTTTATATATCAAATATTGAACCTATATCTCAAACACTAATCAGAAAACCAGTAAAACTAATAAAAGTTAGTAGTCATTTTTTTAATTATTATTTTTTTAAACTATATTTTGCCTTTGTAAAACATTCTGCCAAATTAATTAATTTAACGTATGCGCACCACACTTTCCAATTTTGAAAAGTTTGTGTAGACATGGCCACTTTTCAGACATATTCCTCTTACTCTTACATATCTGTGAACATTTTCCGAGCGACCCATCACTATACGCTAATATTAGTGATGACGTAATATGCGTTCTTTTCACAATTACAATAACAGTAGACAACAAAATAGAGGTATATGTAGTCATTATCATTATATTTCTATTATTTTCAAGATTGTATTCATTTAAACATTATAAATAATTTGGTTACGTACCTTTCTACCAAATTACCTAATTAGCGGGAGTAAACTCCTTTTTTGCGACCTGCAAGCAATATTTAAAAAAACTAATAACATATATGTCAATAATGGTTTGTTTTTGTTAAAAGTTAATAATATAGCGTTTTATACACAGTGAAATATGCCAAATTTCCATAGACAAGCCTGATTTAAATAAAACATGAACAGCATATAGATATTGCTGGGTCCTCCACCACACACAGAAATATACAAACTCATTTTGAAACATATACTTCGATATTCCTATTTTATCTTCTTAGATATTTAAGTTATATAAAATATTTGCAGGGTATATTAATTTTAGTTATCTGTTATTTTAGAAGATAGTTTTTAATGAAATTTAGTTGATACCGAGATAAATGGTTTTATCTACGATCAGGCGATAAAGTGAGCGTTTTCCATGAAATTCTTGAACATAAACGCGACAAACTTAGGATATATATTAAAATGAAATCAAAGTATTATTAATGTATAAGTTTAGATTTTGACGTTTACTTTTTATTGGCAGAGAAGTCCAAATAAAACGAAACTTTTATTAGTTTCCAAAACTAATTTTTCTATTTTTAGTTATAGTATATACTTTTGAAGATGAATCAAAACATGTAGGGTCACAAATAATATTGTTGACAAATGGTATAAAAGGCTGTTTGTCACGATACTAAATTAAGTTATTAATTTTGTCTCTTAATTTAGAACGAACTTAAAATATTATTCACCAAATTATTTGCTTTTACAACGATACCAATTTTCTAAAGTTTCACAAACAATTTTACATTGACACGTTTCTCTCCTTGAACCACATACTTTGATTTTCTTTTACTATACGGAGAATGGTCGCACTGCGCAGCTTTCTGAGTGCCTTTTAAAAGGAGATAGAAAACTCCGCCATTTTGAACCCTTATTACGTGTTGCCTACATCTTGGCGCAATATTTTTAATAGGTGCGTTTTAATCATCCGCTTCGGAATTGTCGGTTTTCTTGTTTTAATCTGACAGGTTAAAACGACTAAACCGACAATTCCGGAAGCAGAAGCGGATGATTAAAACGCACCTGATATTTTGCTTGCTGCTGTCAGTGTCAGTGAATATTATTTTTGAAGTCACAGTTTATTGCTAAAGAATCAGTTAGCTCACTCGGACCAGTTGAAAGTTCCAAAATAACATCCACTCCAGGGATACAAATTCAGGATACGCAGAAGACTGCTGTTTTATTATAGGCGGTTGTCATATATTGTATTATCCGAGTTGCACAGTGTATAAACTGAAACATTGAGATCCAAAGTGCCGACGCAGAGTGAGCGATCTGATTCTTTAGCTGTAAACTGTGTCACAGGGTTCAAAATGCCCGCGCCCTATGTTGGGCGTGTCGGACCTCTCTCTTGTCTCGTATAGTAATCAAAGTATGTGCTTTGAACACATGAACATATTGTCTACTTCAAACGAAGGCCACGGCTCAAATAAGCTGAACGTAGTAGTAATAGAGATATATCACGTGACACGTTCGTGTTTCTTTAAACCTTGACGCCCATATAGTTTGCAGAAAGATGAGTCCGGAACCCTCACCTACTCCCACAAAAATTTATAATGAATAACTGTCAAATGTCACAAGATTTTATTAATGCGCAGCTCCTTCTCTCTCTGCTAAATGATTTCGTTTGCTAGCAGGGTATCCATTTTACTTTCTCCCCCTTTCTATTTCTATGAACATAGTCAATAAGCGGAGCTAACAAAAAAAAAATAGTAAACAAGCCCGCTGTCCAAATCTTTAAAAAGTCTGCGCAACATTTGTAAATTTTAATTAATTAAGCAATATGTTTTTAAGTAATTAAATTTGATTTTTTAGAACTTAAAATTTAGCTCTAAATTAAGTGTTATGACAAACAACCTTAACGGTGTTTTTTCGGTACAATATTATATGTTGGTCCCAATGCAAAGTACTCCAATTTTTATCACATACCTTTTTAGATTTTCTAGAACCGGAGAGTATTTTACAACTAATAGCAAAGGATTTTATGTGATTTAACGTCAACAGGGTTCTTTGATACTCTGGGACCTAAGCTTTACAATCGTGGCGTGCCTGATCTTTATGCTAGTTGACGGACTTCCGACTTTATTGCACTAGCTTGAATGCTATTTTGAGGCTTTTATAGTGCATCAAGGGTTCCTCGGGTATCTAATATCATTGAGGTGGTACTGAAATTCTCTGTTTGCGAATATTGAACTCTCATATAGTGTGAAGTTTTATTTTCTTTGTGTGGTTTCTCAAATGACAGCGACCTGTCAGTTCAACGGCACCGGAGAGGTTTAAGTAATACCACTTTCGCCATATTGGTATGACATTTTTATATTTGTGTGTGTAAATGTCATTGCACCGTGCTTTTGATTATATTTTAGTAATTTCTCTTTAAAAACTATAGTAGACTAAAAACCTTCAGGAAGCACAAGTGTATATAAAATATATATCTTTGCTTTAGAAGATTGAAATTTTTATTTTGAAAATTTTTAAAATAAATTAGAATTTCTCTGGTTGAAAGATGTGTTAAATTTAATTTTTACTTTACAAGTACGTTACTGTACCTATCCTCATCGCTAGTTTGAAATAAGCTCCGCATTGTGTTGCCATTTTGACATCTCCATTTACTCTCACCTCCCTGAACTTTGTAGAAAATAATTTCTACTCGATTCAATGGTCTTGTCAACTTTAACACATGGCGTATTTGCTCTAATTAGTTGTAACACACTCGATACCAAAAATGGCTAAATGCCGATTGATGATAACAAGAGGCCAACAATATTCGTCTTCACGGATATGGTTGTTAATTATTATATTTTATGGTGTCGTAGATAAAATGTCGGATGCATTTTAAGCGTAATTCTCGTCGCGAAATGCCTTCATCTCGCGTACTAAAAACGCTTATTTTACGCCTTCGAAACATATTGTAACTATTTATTAAAACAAGTGTATGTATTTTATGTATTATTTTCTGCGTGTTCCATGCGTTTTTTTTTCACACGGAGTGTCATCGCTGTACTCTTTCACTAGCACTGTGATTCCGTTTCTCACGTAATTACTTTTTCGGCAATACACACAACTCTTAAAAAAATTGTTTCTGTGATTGTTATTTAGGGCACATGTTAATAAATAATTTTAGTTACCAAGTATATTTGAATGGTTCTGTATTGTGCTGATTTTTTAGTGTAACGTTACCGAATTTCAAAATTGTGATATAATGAATTAAAAATAAATAAAGACACATAGCATACTCGTAATTGAAATCGTTTTATTTTATTAATTTAATAAAAACTGTCGATGAACTAAATATCCAGTGCATTTCAATGAAAACATAGGTCAGATGATGGAGTGGCTACCAAGGGTACCAGATTTGAGTTCTTTAAATTTTTTGTATTTATATGGTTGAAAATATAAAACTAAAAAAAGTACAAAAAATGATTGGACTAGTAACACAAACCCGATATCAACACCCTCATACCTTTATATAGACGTCGCGTCGGTCGATATCCTATCGAAATTATTTTTGTTTTTATCAATTCAATAAAGGACATTTTTTACTAATAATTGACTGTTGAAAACAAGACATTTTTAACCATAATAAACTAGGTTCGGCGCTCTACAAAGTTAGCCGACCAAATAGGAAAGCTTGTTGAGTCACTTAGTCAGTTATATTGAGTCACTTTTTGTAGCGAACCTACTTGGTTCTGTCCTATTTTTATGAAACAAAGCAACATTGTTTTGAAAATAGTGCCTACCTGTTATTTGCAGACAACCTTTATGACGACTTAGCCTTACCATTGGATCTCGATCGCTTCACCATGTAGTGTAACCTAAACCATTTGTTCCTAAATGTCAGTAAATGTACTACAATTCACTTCACAAGATCTCCCAACCCTATTCTGAACTTTTACAAGGTCGATAGGTAATGTGACATTAACAAATTCCTCTTCAGTAAACGATCTCGGTATCATCTTTGACACAAGTTTATCCTTCTTAAGCTGGTGAATGGGACGATGTGTTGCGATTCCTCGTTAAAGTAAATCAACTTTCTGATGCCTACTAGGCAGACACGACACACCTCCCTATTTCAAGTAAGAAGGCATTGAACCAACTATGGACAGAACGCTTTTATTGATCTTTGCCAACATTATAATAAATTCTTTTCTGACTGATATTTTTAATATTTACGTTCTTACTCTAAAAAGAACACTTCGGTGGTGTCTAACATATTTATTTATTGTAACTATTAATTGTGCTTTTAGTGAAATATTGTATGTCTAGTTTATGAGTGTCATACAATTTTACCTTTTTACATTTTTTATGTATGTCGGATTTCGGATATTTTGGGCGTCACCGTCAGACATAGCTGTGACAAAACATTACATTTAACACTTGTAAAACTTTTAATTCAATATAAAACAATAAACAATGTTGACATCACTTTAAAACGACGTTATACAAATAATTATTAAATAATAATACGATATCAATTATTAATCAATTAAAGAAATGATACTAGCGATCCGGAGCCAGCGTACCACCGCCCGATCGAGCACACTTCTCTAATCCGTTCGCATTCCTTATTTTCTATCAACATCCTGCCGGCTTCGTTCCGCCTCCCTTGCCCCACACAATGAATGGCAAGTGTGTATCATTCATTACTTATAAAAACCAAGTAGAAGCTTACAACTTATTTTATTGAAATACCGACTACCAATAAATCAAACTGCTTAAAACTATAAACAATACAAAAATTAAACATCGGCGCCGCCGACACGGCCATTCTGACCTGTCGCACGTCCTTGTACGCTACTCCGTAATTTCACCTGAAATGAATAAATCACTCTGCAACTCCTGGCCATTAAAGTGCTATTTACAAGCTACCGTAGCAGCACAACAAAAAATTCGCTCTTGATTCTCAAAACAACATCAAAAACATTTCTAGCCACCACAACAAAAGTTAAACATCGGCGCCGCCGACATATATTACTTGGAATTTATTTTCTGTGATGTATTATTGAAATAAATAAATAAAGAAATGCATGCAAATTCTATATCGCGAAGGCACAGTTGAGACATGCTACAATACACGCCAAAAGATACATCGTACGTGCAAATAAAATTATTGGTCGAACGGTAGACAGTATAGGCGTGGCGATATAAAACTAATATACATTTCCCATTATTGATGAGCTCTATTACTCATGCACAAATCCTACTTCCTCTTAAAATCATCAAAATTTGTTATTATTTCTACCCTGAGTTTCAATTGAACATCCGCAAATGTCTTTTTGTTTATGTTTAATTAATAGTTATAGCATTCGCTCTGTCTCTGTCCGCACTAATCTGGTAAACACTCTCACCACGTTATCAATAACCAATCACAAGACAGTGTCCAAACATATGATTCGTTCCCTAGACAAATCACAACAGTAGCACAAAAATGCTAGCCTTTCCACAAGACACTCAACTCACGAGCCAAGAGACCTATTTCAATCTCCAATGGAGCAACACATTTTGTTTTATTCATTTACGTACACGTCGTTTCTAATTGAAACAAATAAAAGATATGTTTCAAACCTACATGTTCGTTATACAATTTTAAACAATCCTAAAAATTATGTAAAATTGTTATGTGATGAAAAGTACAAAATGTTAAATAAACAAGTTAGCAGAAGTAATTTCAACATTCCAAAGCAAGCTATCGGGCAGTTCATCACTAAAATCACAAATTATACAAGTTTCTACAAATATACAGTCCATCTCGCCCCCCCTGTAACAGGAAGGAGAACCTTTACGTGTGTCACGAAGACCAACAAGAAAAAGAAATAGATGTGAATATACGACACCACCGCTACCATGATGGCAGAAAACTTTTTCTATTATTTTTACATTGGCTTTTTGAAGACGTCGTCATTAAGCGCTCCATGGCTGGTGCATCTGCAGCAAAGTATTTCCATCTTCTACAAGCTAAGAATTAGCGATAAATTTATAATTCAGCCTTGTGCAAATGTGTACCCAAAAAGTCACTGTCTCGGGCGTAAACGGAGTGCGGATAGTTTTACTCCAGTTACTCTCAAGAGGGCAATGTCAGTTGCCATTGTGACATATCAGTACTTAAAACCTAATCGTACTTATCAGTAACAACCCGTATAAGTTTCTTCCATAATAATAATATTCACAGGAACCACCTAAAAAGCTTTTTATTCAAGAATCAGTCATAATTATCTTGTTATAACCTTATGCGCATGTCCGATCCGCACTCCACTCCACGATCTCCGGTCAAAAAGGAACATTTATTTTAACGCCTTCCTTTCCTGAACGCCTTTGGTACTTGAGTGAATAGAGTGTGAAGAGAGAGATAGAGATCGCAATTAAGTTGTTTGAATAATTACTTGATTCAATATTCCCGCGCTTTTATCGCGAACGAGTAATTTCCGTTCTCTTCGAGAGTTCACAGTGCAGGAATCCAACGAATGCACTCTTAAATAAAAAATTATATTCTGTGATCAGGGCTGGTATATCTAAGGGGGTCGCGACATAGGCGTCCATTTTAGACGCCATTTTTCTCGAAATAGTAGTCGCCAGGCTTGCCAATATAAGAATAAAAAATCACCTTTTTTTAAATGTCCATAATTTTTAGGATAAAATATTTCAATTTAATAAATTATTAATAATCTCACATGTACATAGAATACGTCGTGAAGAGTAGATCACTTTCAATTTTGTGCTGTTTTGGTTTAGGTTTGGTTCATTTTAAAAGGTAATTGAAGAGATGAAGACAATTTTCTTATAGATGAGGATGCATAACAAATTATGGCTCCCTTTTTTAGAGCTTCAGTCTCCTAAGTCTATTTATTTTAGATCTTTTTCAATTGTTGGTAGGTATTCACTTCATTTGAATGTTTTTATTTAATTTGAATAATTTTGTGTAATATCTTGCGATTTGTTTTCTATACATTTTAGCATATAGTTGTTCGCTACATCTTACAAAGGATGGCTTTGAAATACCTTTACAACAGAGGTACTTTCCTAAAACTGGCCGAAATTTGAAACTGATTACAGTTCTTACAGAAAATCTCCAGTAAAAAATGTCTGCATGCAGAATAACAGTAGCATAGATTAACAAAGCTGACAAAAGAGTTGGACACACATTTGTCTAGCTTTTTTAATATTTCAGGACAATAGTGTTAACAGCAAACTACAACAAGAACAACCAAAGTTTAGTAATCAATCAAAATATTTCAGTATCTCCAGAATTATAAACGTATGAAAACTATAATAGGAAACATGTATGGCTTCGAATAGGAAATTACCTAAATTAGCATATCTAGTGAATATTGAATTTTAAAGAATATATTTTTAATCAAAACTTTTGTGTTTTTAATCCAATACTAACCATATAGAAATGCATATGCATTTTATAGTATTAAGCAAGATTTTGATCAAATGTAACTACAATTTATAAACATTATTAAACTAAAATAAACCATTTCAAATAACACCTGTTTTTATTTAAATAAAACATATTAAATATATGTTTTTATTAAATACATAAATTAGTCTCAACCATACATTTTGTTTTTGTTTTTACTTCTAGTGTAAAAGTGACTACTAATTCACAGTCTTTCAAGTTTATTATTTAAGGAGACCAGCTACTACAAAATATCTCTTTAATAATGGTTTTGCATTTATCAACATTTGACAGCACTTTGTTTATAGGAGACATCTATCTAGCTCTTAATTAAATCACATTTACAACATTTAAATCAAGTAATTACATTTTCATATTCAACTTATGTATTCTTTTTTTTTTAATTTGAATTTTTTGACTGTGGTAACTTGAGTCCATTCGCCAAACCTACAAACTTAGTTACTTAAAAATGTTGAAAGAGAATGCCATAAAGTTAAAATTCCTTCTTCTATGATGTTGTCCATGCAATTTTAGGTTGTAAACGTTTTGTCCAACACCTTTTTCACAATTTATCCGAAGCAACACTATGAAAAAATTAAATCCTGGATTTACAGCATTCAGTTTTGAGATGAGTGCAGTCACAATGCAGTTTCGGAGATAATTTTCACATGAACACTTATTTACCACAACACAAACGCATGTACCTATTCATGTAACATTAAAATAAAGTGGAAATAATTTGCTTAATTTGGTATATAAAAAAGCACAAAATATTTTTAGTTTTAATTTCACTACGAGGAAAACAGTGGTTCATTCCACTTGTACCATATTGACATTATTATGCTCGTTAAAAGTAGATCTGTCTCTGTTTTTAAAATACTATTACGGCAGGACAAACGATAACCGTGAATTTCGCCAAACGAACATCAGAAAAGTGTTGCCAACTTAAGCTGACTACTATTTCCCTTCTAGCCTCAGTCATCCCCTCACCCACTTACTGGGTATATGTCGCGACCCCCTTAGATATACCAGCCCTGTTCTGTGATATTCATTAACCGACTTCAAAAAAAAAGAAGAGTCAATTCGTCGTTTTTTTTGTATATATATTTTCAGCGAGAATTCTTTACCACGTTGTCCGATTGTATGATTCCTTTTTGTTAGAGAGGCGGTCTCATATAAATTTGGTCCAGATCTATTAATGGCGTCCATAAGAAAATCATCACTCTTCATTTTTACTTTCCTATCTGTACAGATATAAGGAAAGTATAGGAATCATGATTTTTTTCGACCTCGAGTTTTCGACGGATTTTTACGTTTTGAGGTCCCCTGAATCCGTTTTGACTATTTTCGCGATGATGTCTGTGTGTGTGTGTGTGTCTGTGTGTCTGTGTGTGTGTGTGTGTGTGTGTGTGTGTCTGTATAACGCATAACTCATGAACCGATACACAGAAAAACACCAAATTTTAAACCTAAGCTTTGTTTCAGCGTCCAATGAGCTGATTAGATTTTGGGCAGAGTCGGAACATCTGGGGGGGTACTTTATAGGTGGTCATTTTTATATTTTATGGAATATATCTGTTATTTACGTTTGGAGAAGAAAATTCTTCAAATAAAAGTTACTTCTAATATAATTATCTATAATTTTTGTTTTATGCAAAATTTTCCTAAAATGGTCCGTATTCGAGAAATTTGACAAAATGTAAAAAAAATAATTTTTTATAAAAATTGTTCAAATAAAAGTTGTTTGTAATATAATTTTCTATAATTTTTGTCCTATACATAATTTCTCTAAAATGGACCGTATTCGAGATATTTGAGAAAATGTGTAAATTTCGAAATTTGAAGAAAACTCAAAAACGGATAAAGAAAAAAACATTAAATTTTAAACTTAAGGTTTATTTCGGCCTGACGTGAAATGATTAGATTTTGGACATAGTCGGAACATCTGGGGGGGTACTTTATGGGAGGCCACTTTTATATTTTATGGAATATATCTGTTATTTATGTTTGGAGAAGAAAATTGTTCAAATAAAAGTTACTTCTAATATTATTATCTATAATTTTTGTTCTATGTCAAAATTTCCTGAAATGGTCCGTATTCGAGAAATTTGACAAAATGTGCAAAATTCTGATTTTTATGAAAATTGTTGAACTAAAAGTTGTTTGCGATATCGATTTCTATAATTTTTGTTTATATATGATTTTTCTAAAATGGACCGTAATGAAAAATTGCTAAATTTAAATTTTTCTGTATTTTCGTTTTCAATGAATATCATAGAAAAATGTTTCGAGGTAGATGTATGTGGAAAATGTATATATTTAGTTTATCCTCTAAACATTTATAGAGATGCTGCAATAGGTTGTACAAAATAACCGCAAAATGCCTATAATAACTAGATAGGAAAGTCATGTGTTGGACACATCAGATTTTTTTATATGTTCAGCGATAATTTTTTAGTACGTTGTCCGATTTTTATGATTCTTTTTTGTTCAAAAGGGGGTACCTAGGGGTGGTCCCATATACATTTAATCAAGATCTGATGGTGGGATCTATGATAAAATTAGCAAACTCAATTTGTAATGACATCTGCACGATTTTGAAGTCGGTTTTTTAAAATTACTTTTATAACTTTATTTTTTAACTAGTTGTAACCAAGAAAGGACTTGTATCTTAATTTGACAGTTAAATAAATTAATGTGACTAAACCAAGAACAAAATCCTTCATCAAGAAATTCATCAAACCTTCAAAATCAGCATCAACGGTATGTCACATCGAAGATAAATTTATAAAAGGTAAACGTAGAACCAGGAGACAGGCTACTTCAAATTTTTTTAAATAAAACTAAAAGTGTCAGTATTATAGATATTTTATTCACTGAATTCTAAAAATGTTCTATTTCGTTTGGCTCTCCACGAATTCGATTAGCGTTCGAGTAGGTCTTCCGGTCATGCCTTTTTGTAAATAAGGCGAAGTATCGGGTCCCATAACGCCGGCGATGTCTAAATGCAACCAGTCAGTATCTTTGGGTACGAATTCTCTTAGAAATGCAGCGGCAGTACAACTTCCTCCTCCCTTGCCTCCTTTTCCAATATTGTTCAGATCATATGCAGCATTTTCAGAAATCATTTTGGTGTAATGTTTCCATAAGGGCATTCGCCAAACTCGGTCGCCGGTGACTGTCCCAGCGTTTTCTAACATCTTGTAGAGATTATTGCTATTGCTGAAGGCACCTAAAATTAAGTTAATAGTATCTCACTTCCGAGGTTCGTAAGAAAAATTTACCTGTTGCTGCATTGCCTAATGCAACTCTCATAGCTCCAGTCAAAGTGGCAATGTCCAAAACCCATTTCGGCTTAAATTCGGAACTGTAGCACAAAGCATCAGCCAAAATGAGTCTCCCCTCGGCGTCTGTATTATCTACACATATCGTTTTTCCATTTCTTGCTCTGACAACGTCTCCAGGTTTAATTGCTGTTCCCGATGGAAGATTTTCTACTAGAGGTATAAGGATTTTTAAGTTGGTTGATACACCTAGTTTGGCTAGACCAAATACTGTACCTAGTGAAAAAAATTGACGGTTCAAAAATGGGACTACTGAATGTGAGGCTACAAGCCACGCGCATCAGAAAATAATATAAAAACAAAAACTTGTTACAATACGACAGATATAACTTGAACTCAATATTTGATGAACAGGGTATGCCACAAGATCTAATTCTCTGCTGCCCTCTTCCTTATTTGATATAAAAGATTGATTTTAATTAAATTTAAAATTGAAAGAGTTAATTGTGGAGCAAACATGCAAAAGCCGATAAAACCACTATTTAGATTTTTTAGACTTAGTACGGATTTTTACTAATTTTGGTGCGCTTTACCGATCTAGAGCATTATATTCAAGAAAATCCCGATATATCGTATTAAAAAAGCACCTTAATTTGTCCATTTCATGCAAATAACGATAAATCCAAATTTCAAGCAAAACCCGATAAAAAATTATAAACTTCTGCCATCTATGCGGATTACTAAAGTAATGTGACGCCAGAAAATTACAGCTATCTTTTTTACAAAATAGTTATTTCCGTTTGTCAATAAAAACTAAAAGATAAAGGGGGCACTAGTATGAATATTATTGTTTAAATTCAGAGAAACAGCTAATTTTTTCTAGAAGTGCAGTGGCATTTTAGCAGTTAACCTGTTGCTCGTTTTTATTGTTTTTGGAATTGTTTATGATGGATGAAGGAGAAGCCAACCCAGACAACACACCAAATCCCAGAGATATCCGCAGAATATCTTTTGTGGATATCCAATATATCCACAGGATATCAGAAATATTCCGTGGATCTAATATGGATATCCAAATGTGCGTCTATATCCAGGATATAGAAGATATCCTAATGGATATTCAGCAAAATATCTTCCAGAAAATACAAGAAATCACAGAGATATCCACAGAATATATTTTGTGGATATTCAATATATCCAATATGGATATCCAACCAAATGTCCGTCTATATCCCAGGATATAGAAGATATTCGGATATTCAGAAAAATATTTTATGGGTATCTTTAGTAGAGGTTCATCATGGTATAAAAAATAGAAGGTAGGATATCAACAGTGTCAAAAATAGGACGGCCACGCGCATGATGTCACGCGTAGAGTTTGTATAGGCGCGAATTTAAAAATACTAACGAAGTGTGAGGAAAATATAATTCGTTGGCTAAGAGTGTTAACCCGCTAAGTCCATTTCGCCAATTTTACAGGAGAGATAAAAAACTTGCTAAGTTATTCAAAAATATATCAATTAAAATAGGTTTATTTTTTTATATGGAATATTGATATTTCAATCAATTCCTAATAAGAAAATATGGAAAAAGCGTTGTTCTATTTTAAATTTATCAATAAAAAAGGAGATAGCAGTTTTTCAGATTTAGAGAAGCGAAATTCTCGAACTCTATTTGGAAAAAGCAGGTCTTCCTATGTGAAAAAAAAACACATTATTCTGAAAAAGTAATATTTTTTTATTTATCAGAAAAATAAAAATTAAGATAATGAATACAAAAGGTAATAATAATTTAAATGCAAGAAAACAAAAAAAAAACGGTGTACTTTTATTCATGAGGGAATGGTTTGCTTCAGATATTGCAGATCTGAAAACTTTCTAGCTGTTATTTTGCGCCTCTCTTTGTGTAAGGAATTCAGATCGCAGAATGGACGATGTACAATATTGCTCTTTCTTTGAGGCAATACCTGCCATTCGTCTTGAAACATTAGTTTATAAAAGATATCACCATCAGGTGTATATTTGAGAGCTCCTATATCTGTAACTTTGGCATCACCTTTCCTATTTCTTCCTGGTCGGATACTTTTGTAAAAATCGATGCTATTGAATTTCTTGAAAAACGAATATTCGAGGTATGTGACATCGTACGGTTTTGGATTTTTACGAGCTGCTCTGCAAATTTGAATATATTCAGCAGGAATCATTATATCCGTATTTTTGAGGCGTCTTTCAATAGCGGAATGCATGGCATCAGCCTCCATTTGAGTATGACCTACCTCAAGATATTTTTGAATCACTGTGATATTGAAATTCATTGCAAAATTTAGAAGAGCATTACTCAAAATAGTATTTCTATTTTGGTAGGTGCATCCGTCGGTGTAAATAATTATAACTCTTTCAAAGTTTTCATCGGTATTGTGGAGGTTATTTATTTTAGGTAGTACCTTATTTTCAAAAAAATGAATCCATATAGTTGCAAATTCGTCGGAACTCACACCACCTTCTGTTTCATTCCGCACAGATAGCAATATCCATCTTTATTGCTGAGGTTGAAAAAGCACAAATTATGAACTTGCAGCTTAGTTCTATAATATAAACTGCTGACATTAGATTTTGGGGCCATCAGAACACCCTGCAGATCTGCAGTGAATACAAATAAATGTTGATTTTTGTCACGTTCTTTTTCGACCCGTGCTTCGTTTTTACGCTGAACGTGTAAATTATATTCATCATCAGATAGCTTACCAAGTTTATAAATAGTACATTTTTCACAGAGATCTTTTTTAGGGGAAAATAGTGCTATGTTTTTTTCATCTAAAGCTTCATTAAAAATTGTGATCGATAAAGCAGTTGAATTTTGAGAAGAACGCCAATCCTTAACGTAAAAATCGTATAAACTTTTTTTGGAGCGCCATTCAGGCAGAAGGTACTTTTTATCAGTATGCGCCCTACAGTAATGAGATTCAAGTGCGGGCAGTGAATCTATAAATTCAAATAATTTCATCCTGGCGCCTTTGAAAGGATGATTTTTATCTGCTGCATCTATGCGGACTTTGCTTGGTTCGCGTGTAGTGAATGAGTTTTTCCAAAACAGTACAGTCCATCTTCCAACACCAAGTGTATTCAGGAACATTTGTCTGCATACCCGTATCTGTTCTTCGTTTACTTGAAGATAATACTCGAATGATTGCGTCCTTCTGGATTTGTTTTGGTTTATTCTTTGACGGTGCCGTTTTGTGGGAATAGCCTTAACTAAGCTGTCAATGTAAACTTTTTTCTCACCCCACGTAAATTTCCAAAACTTATCAAACATTGCTTTTCTTTCAGTATCAGTTATAGTATCGCATTACTGTTTTGCATTTACATCTGCCTTTGATTTTTCTAGGTTGCCTCGGTTCGCTATAGTTCCATTTACCATTCTTTTTCATTCTTCCGCAATAATTCCTCCCTTTTTCCCTCAACAGTTTATTTTTTTCGGCGAACCACGTGGATTTATTCACCTCGAACCTTTTTTTACGTTTAAAACTTTTTTTTGGATAGTCCGAATGAGAATTTGACGACATCTCAGAGTCCGAGTGTTCCGAATATGAAACCAATCCTCTTGTACTTTAGTCAGAGTCGGATAAAGTTTCACTTTCCCCATGGCGCTCAGATATAATATTTGTTGATATAGCCTCATCAGCTTTATCGGTCAAACTTTCTGGAGGCACGTGATTATTATTAATATTGTTAGTGGTAATAAAATCGCACACACTGTCTGTAATAGATTCTTTATCACATATTTGTTGTGAAAGTTGATTTTTGTCACTAGATATTTTGCATTGGCTCTTATTGATGTTATCCAAACACATACCCTCTGAAATATCCACTATTTCGAGTTCAACGTTTTTCACAATTTCCATTTGTAAATTCTCGATAGAAAACAGGCTAGCAAGGTCTACATCTGTATTTGGATTTTGAACTCCCAAGTCATCATCAGACTTCATTTGTGGATCAATGGAACTAGCTGTAGTAAGAACATCTTCTGAGAAGATGTCTTCTATTCGCGCCATTTCTACTATTCTTCGGGATCGGGACATCCTGAAAGAAATAAATCAACTATAGAAAAACTGCTATCTTCATTTGAAAATAGTTCTGAAATAAAAAGAATAACTGCTATCTCCATAACAGCTTGAGCTATAAAATTTCTGAATAAAATAATGGTTTTTATAACTTTTAAACTCTGGAAGTTTATTTAGAAGTTCTACGTACTCACCTTAACAGTTTTTTCACCAATTAACAACAAACACTTATTAAATAACACTAATTTGCTCGGCAAACGGCAACAGCATGTTAACTTTGCACGTGTTCCAACAAAACTAACGTCTTTCTATGGAGATAGCAGATTTTCGGCGTAGAAAATATGAAATAGTTGGTTAGCAGTATTTCGCGCGGTCGAAATTGACTAGTTCTGACTTGAAATGAACTTGTCTGTTTTTTGGACACGATGCGCAAAATAATAATAAATTGAACTGCATTTAAATCTCATTTTAGGTAAAAGTGGAGATAGCAGGTTAACACTCTTAGCCAACGATATGCTAACATAGAAATTTGATGAGTATTAAGGATAATATTTTAGAAATTACATGAAATATCTATGGATATTATTATAGGATAGTTAAGGAAAGAACTATGAAGGAATATAAATGCAAATACATACATAAAAGAAATATTTTTTTGAACAGTTTTTTCCCTTTTTTTTTAAATGATTTATTTTGTTTATACAAATTCGATTTCTAAAGAATAGTTTTTATAACCAGGATAATAAAATAAAGGGTATCTTCGCAACTCGAAACTGGGGATCCTGGTAACAATTTCACATCTGGATATGCCGGAAATTTTTACCTGATTAGGATTTTCATCTTATTTACCTGCATTATTTTACCCAATTGAATAAAAATAAGTTAAAAAAATAATTTTTTTTCATATAATATAATGCAGACATTCATATAATACAATGCAAAACATAAAAAATGTACCAAATACGAATAACTGTTACAATACAAAATTAAAATAAAATGTCGCTGCATTTTTTCTGGACCTAGTCGCTGACAGTTTTTTAAATTATTCATCAAGTACAAGTCGGAAATTTTCCTTTTTGTTTGGTGACATTTACAATTTTACTTTTGCTTATATTGCGAAATTTTTAGCCTTCAAAGGGTAGAGTCTCCAGTTTAAAAGTCCCAAGTTGCAAATTAACCATGTGACTCACACTGGTTCATTCACAGCTCCACATTATGTGAAGTTCTGATTTAAGATCTCTCTTATAATTGGAAGGTTGAAAGTGCTTGGAATACATACGAAAATTTATCTGCAGGGTCACAAGCCACTGCAAGGGCTGCTCCATGCTGAATTTTCTTGGGAAGGATGGTAGAATTGCCTATTTAGCATATTTTTTTATTTAAAAAAGGGCTCATGGATTTTAAGAATTTTAATCTAGGGAACGGCATGCTCTCCTGGACCTCCGCTGGAGCCGCCCTTGGGCCACTTCTTCCTTCTGACTAAGCTCTTACTGTCGAGGAAAGCGAAAAACCATATCTTTCTTGAATCCTTTCCTTTAATTGTTACCGTTACATCCGTACCGCAATTTTTCAATGTTTTTTATTAAAGCCACTCATAGAGAACAAAGTTTACAACACAATATAATACAAATATCTGCTTAGTATTTTATAAATCACTATAAACGACTCACAAACTACTGCAAAATGCGTCTGTCATATGATATTTATTTCGCGCCAGCTCTACTAACTCTACGCATGACGTCAGCGCCGCCATGACACCATGCGCGATATCCCCCCCTGGAGGTTCATAAGTAACCAATGATTATTGAATAACGTCGAAAGAAAATAGCAGAGATAAAAAATATTTTCAACACTCTGCCTTTGATTTTGCCCACTAAGGAGAAAGTCATCCTTATTAGGACTCTTCAGCAATAAATGAAAATTCACGACTCCAGTCTCTAATGGAATGAATAGGACACACATTTCGATCGAACTCAATTACGGCGGGTCGAGCATGAGTAGATGCGATAGTGGTATCGCCATCTATACTTAGTAAGCAGAATCAAATAACATATAGTGGATATCCACGATGGTTTGCGTTCGCGCCTAGACTTTGATATATTTAGTGGATGTTCATGGGATATTGAATACACCTTAAAAAAATTAATTTTAAATATCTGAACGGTACTATTAGCCACAATGGCGAGCACAATGGCGTAATTTTTTAATAATTTGCTATATAATTACTATTATTTATGGACATTTGCATGTCTATAAATTACATTTCATGGATATAAAATAGATATCTACCATATGGACTGGACATTCAGTGGATATTGGGATGTTAAGTAGATATTCAAAGGATTTGGTGTTGTGTCTGGGAATGTATCTGATATTAGCATAGGAAGTAGAAAACGTAAAACAAATGAGACAAAACGGCAGATGCAAAAAAGCAGAGGTAAAAATTTACATTAGCGTCTTTTTTTGGAACGTGTTGTTTACTTTCTGTTTGTTTTTTAGATACAAAGATGACGATCCGGATTTGATTAATTTTAAAAAGGTTTGCGATCATAAAGGACCTACATATCGGTGTGAAAATATTGCAGTAAGTGATGTACGTGCTCTACGAAGAAAAATTTTTGACACTAATAATAAAGTGGACCAAGATACTAAATTGTGCCATTACATGTCAGTAGTACCGATTGATAGAAAAAGGGCTACAAAGGGGGCACAATCCAGAAGTCGCAATTTTTCGGAACATTATTTTCTGCCCAAAAGAGTGCCCAAGAAAAAAATTCAGGTATGCCAGCCTTTTTTTCTCAAATGTGTTAATGTAAAAAAAGACCGGATTAATCACATAGCGCAGGTTTTATCTGAAGGGAATATTCCAATGGAAAATCGTGGTGGAGATCACGTGTCCGCTAAATCTGTTGCAAAAAAAGTTAAAGTAAAATAATTCATTGGAAACCTAAAAGGAAAGGAAAGTCACTATAATAGAGAAAAGTCGAAAAGGATTTATTTAGATGCTAATTTAAACATAAAAAAATTGCACATGTATCAAAGGCAGTGCAATGTTGAGCATAAAGTTAAGTTTTCTATGTTTAGAAGAATATTCGTGAATGACTTTAATATTGGCTTTTCTAGTCCAGCCACCGATATTTGCGCAAAATGTACTAGGCTTAAATACTTGACCAAAAGTGAAGTTGATACAGAAAAGAAAAGGGGGTTACAAATCGAACTATAGGCTGCTAAAAAAGAGAACCCTAACAATTCAATTACTTTTTGCTTTGATCTTCAACAAATTCAGCCTTTGCCAAAACCCCAATTAACGATGCATTTTATGCGCAACAAGTTAGCATGTATATTTTTTGTTGCGTTGACAGTCAATCCAAAAAACAAACTGTTTTTACTTGGACGGAAGATATGGCAGGAAGAGGATCAATCGAGGTAGGATCTGCACTTTTTAGTTATTTGGATTCATTGAATTATGACGATATCACCACAGTTCGTCTATTCTGCGACGGATGCGGAGGACAAAATAAAAATAATCATATTTTGCAAACTATATACTTCTGGCTTAGATTTAAAGCACCAATAAAAGTTACAAAATTACAAATAGTTTTTCCAGTAAGGGGTCATTCCTTCCTACCAGCCGATAGAGTATTTGGGCGGAAAAACAAGCTACAATCCTTTCAAGAAAGCATTATGAAGAAACTTACGAAAAAGTTGGAGTAGTAAAAAGACTAGGCATTGACTGGAGACTTTTTGATGTAAAAACACTCCAAGTGGGTTTAAAAAAGGTTAAAGGGCTATCAGAAATGAAAAGAGTAGTTTTTCAAAAATTTAACGATGGAGCGTTGATTAAAATATGCGCATTTGAAAACTTTTACTACTTCTCAGGAACAGAAAAGTTTGAAAAATTATTGAAACCTAATTCGGATCTAGATTTAACAATAGTGGAAAAAGATACCAAACGGGGCATTCCAGAAAAGAAAAAAAATCTCTTCAGTATTTGCTAAATCAGCAATTTGGTCTGAATTCGGAGGAGCCAGAGGATCTGCAATGGTATCGGGCATTACTTCATGGAAATACATTACCCGATGAAGAGGGGGATCCCATTGTTGAACCGGAAGGTATATGCAACTGTCTTGAAGAGGAAGTGGCTGTTCATATTTAGTTTTTTTTTTTTTTTTAATAAAATGTTTTGCCCAAATTCTTTCTGTGTTAACTCTATGCTCTTGTTATATCATATTCACTGTTTTGCTTTGTGCTATGAATAAAATAATCTATTTAATCGTGTATGTTATCTATTTCTATTATCACTATATTGATATCAAATAGATTTTTAAACACGCCTCTCTTATAAAGCCACAAAAACTTATTTTTCAAGCAAAAACCGATAAATTCAAAAACTAAAAAAATAAAAACGCAAAAAATACAACGACCACGAAATTTTGGGACAATCAAAGACAAACCAAAAAGAGCAAAACCCTTTAATAAATTTTTAAAAATACCTAGCGGATTCCGCTGTATATGTTTTTGACCAATATCTCAAAATCAGTAAAACTGGATTTATCGGCATTTGCGTGTTTGCTGTGAGTACGCTGTTTAAACGTCTAAATATCTTTATTATTATTTTCTTACTTAGTACGACAGCAGCTCCTCCCATGTCACCCCGCATTTCATCCATGGCCGCGGCTGGTTTTATACTAATACCGCCAGCATCAAATGTTACTCCTTTGCCAACGAGTACAAAAGGACTCTCCCGACTTTGTTTCGGATTGTAAGTAATTTCCAAAAATTTCGGCGGTTGTACCGAACCCTGCGCTACTGCCAGAAATGAAAACATTTTTTGATCCTCTGCCCACTTTTTGTCATAAATTTTTACATCGACTCCTAAAGGACAAAGCAAATGTTTGGCTTCTTCGGAAAATATCGTAGGGTTTAGAAGATTCGCTGGAGTGTCCGTCAATTTCCTTGCCAGATTCTGTGCTTCGGCTTTAATAACACCTTTGCACCAACCGTCTGCGTCTTTGCTATGTTGGAACAGTTCAACTTTCGGTAGTTCTTTCTTTTCCGTTTTGTATTCTTGGAAATTCCATGTTCCTAAAATGCTTCCTTGTGCAGCCGCGTCTGCATTACAAAAGTCTTCTACGTGAATGGTTTTTATTCCCACCGATTCCAAAGCTCTACATCCAACTAAAAACAGTTTATTTTATGTAAAATTAACTATTTTAATATATCGAATTTATAATTACCAGCAGCAGCTATCCGTATAGACTCATTTTGTTGGCAAATCAATTCATTTTCATCTTGTTTTTCAGACTTCTTACCAATACCAGTAACGGCAACTGAATTATACTCTTTGTCTAAACCCCAAAATAAAATGCATTTTCCGGCTTTAATTTCATTTCCAGCACTGAAATAAAAACACGTTCTTTAAAAGTTGAACAATACACGATTTCGCTCAGTATGTACGTGTTGCTCAACTGCATGTTTCCCAAAGTTTCCTATGGAAGTGGTCCTTTAACTACAGAAGAAAAGTGGATAAACATTTGGTCTAAAGTGTCGCTATTTTGTGTACGTGTATTTTTAAAATGTTGTCCTTAATTATTTGCAAGTACCTGAGGAAAACAAATGAACATATATGGTACCCCACTTTATAAAAGAGCAACGAATTAACTAAAAGATGCTACTTAATTATATTTTTCAAAGCAAATAGTCAAACAAAAGGGTCGAAGTTGTCCAAAAACCAAACAACATAGATGATGGTAGGTGTGGTTTTTCTCACCTGTAAGTCAAATGGCACCATCAATCATCTGTAATCCATCCTCTGTAAGAATCCTAGTCCTAGTCTTTCTTGGGGATTTGCAACCTTACAGCCGAACCTCAATAATCTTAATTTAAAAAGGAAGGAAAATAATTCCAAACTCAAATATGACCAACATGTAAAATAAAGATTAACAAGAAAATCTCAAAGCGATGTATCACAAAATAATACGAGCGACTGCTTCTCTCCGGAAAACAATTACTCCTTTGGCTAATACTACATTGAATTATATCCAAAGAAAAGCAGCGGAGAAAATTATTTTCAACCCAAATGTAAAAGGTTATCGATTTTCCCAAATATGGTCAAGTGGTATCAATAAAAGGAACACACATCAAATCATCGCGACAAGGTGGAGAAGAAAAGGGAAAGACGGAGGATTGGACAAAGGATATAGAGCTAATTAGATGGGGTTGTTAAAAAATCAATATCAAATTGAAAGTGTGAGGGTGGGTATTCAACAAAAATATTTGATGATGGTAAATATGTAGTGAAATGAAGGAAATCTACAGTCAGATAAGAAAAGCGTAGCAAAGCAAGTTAAAATATTAAATTCAATATACATTGCTGATTCAACAGGTAAGGATAGATCTCTTCAATCAAAGCCCTTAAGACCAAGTAAGTCTCTCATTCAGTTTAAGGGCGCTATTCTAGAAAAATCAACAATTTTAGGTAGACAATATTATGCACTACGCCTTTTCCCATTCAGTGGTTGAGCATCAATATATAAAAGACTATTGGTAATTACAAATCTTAATTATGTTCCTTTTTCGAATTATAAACGTAGTCCATTTTTTTGCACAAAATTTCCAACGGTTATATCTTCCTAAATAAACATAACTATATAATGATACGATTAAATATTAATTTTTAAATTACCTATTTCTTTCTAACATGGGCCAATAAAGTATTATACTGTAGTATCAAAATTACTTTAAACATATTTTTAATAAAATAATTTCGAACAATATAACAAATTTCATTATGAATATAAATCTCTACTTGAAAAGATAAATACAAATTTTTGTGAATTACGTGCTAACAGAATATAAATTAAAAGCCTGTAATTCATTTTAAAAAGGCCAATAACTGTATATGATTATAAACATATATTATTGCCGGAGATAAATATAATTGCTGGCGATTGTAGGTTATAAATTGCTTATGCGATCAATTGCTGTAGCGGTAAACTGCTATAGCGGTCAATTGCTGGCGGTAAATCGCTGATGGTCAATTGCGAGCGGTCTATTTTCCTAGACCCCAGTCGAGGACTGATCCCCCATGCTTTGCCGCATATCCTTCTGAGAACCTAGAGGGATAATATGGCTTTGATGATGGTTTTTTACAATTGGGGGTTCCAGGTGAGTTTCTTATTTAGGATAATCCGCAGATATTGCACCTCCTCCGCAAATGGAATGGTTTCTCCGGCCAAAGTAGGTTATCGAAGCTTGTCGAGCTTTTTTCTCTTGGTGAAGGGGACGATAACATTTTTTCAGGGGATAACAGTTTTTCAGGGGTTAACAGACAACTGCTCCCTCTCGCACCATCTGTTGATCGTATTTATGAAGGATGTTGTACTTCCCTCTAATTATGATAACCAGATCGCCTGCATAGCAAATCCACCCCCTGTTGAGAGAGATCGTCGAGCAGGTTATCCATCAGAATGATCCACAGTAGGGGTGAAAGTACGCCGCCTTGTGGAAATCCTCTGGCAGGCCTGAAAGTGACTCTCTTTCCATGCAGTGATAAAATGATTGTAGGTTGTGGAGTTAGACGCCTCAGAATATAAAAATATATATCACGATGTCGCCACAATAATATTGAAAGAATGCTTTTAATTCAATTACAGGTCGGTTTGTAGATTACTTTTTATTCAATAGAAGCGAACTGAGACTGAGGAAGAACGTCATTGAACGCATCTTCTATATCTAGAAAGGCTCTCAGCGCAATCTCCCCGTATTTTAGGGAATTACCGATTTTGCCTACCAGATTGTGCAGTACACGAGATCTGTCGAATTGCCTGCTTGGTACGTATATTGCGAGGAGTTTAACGGGCTTGTCCGAATGCGTCCTTCTCTAATATGTATATCTAGTATTATCTCTAGTGTTTTCAAAAGAAAGGATGTTAGGCAGCTGGAACGATAGGAGTTGGGTAGGGTATCTACTCTACCAGTCTTGTTTATGTACACAACTTTCGTTCTTGAGTCGTATGATCGATTCCCTGAAAGGAAGGGGTTACTTGTCTTCCAGAATTCGATACATAAAAATTATGTTTACAATATTTCTAACGAAAATACTAAAAAGTTTCGTCAAAAAAGATGACTCAAGTTCAGAATTAGGAATCTCTCAACTTTTTCCACGGCACCATTTTGTTACTTACTCTATGTCTTAATAGTTGAAGGGTTCAGGAGCCAATCAGTAAAAAAAATGAAACTAGTGTAACACAGAAAAATACATACGATTCCAAACATTTTAAGATTTTTTTATTGAAGTTGTTTTTTTGAAGATATAGAAAAACTAAATTTAAATTATTTAAAAAATAACTTAACACAAAAACTAATGTTTGGTATGAATAAGGAACTCGATAAGTGATAAATCACTTGTTTCGAGTAGAAAATAAACGATGACTTACACTGATTGGCTTGTGAACCCTCCAATTGTGACTCACCTTGTATATATGGCCGATCGCCAGTCTTAATGGATCACCTTGATGATTGATAAAATATTCTAGGTAGATTTTGATGTTGGGGATTAATAAATACACAAAATTATGGACAAGGGTAATATTTATTGCTATATTTGTACAGCTACTTCACACCAAATATATTTTATTTTTTAAATATATTTTTTTCATAGTTGGTCATTCTAGAGACACAAATTGAAAAATGAACATTTATATTATGATGGTGCGAACTACATGTGTGTATACCTAAACAATCAACATATACTGTAGATTTTAATCACAATTTTTACGTTTTTTTTTAAAGATGCCAACACAAAACCCACTTTCCCTTAATTATTTTTGATTATAAGAATGGGATTTTAATAGAATTGGGGAAATGTTGACGTTTTCAGAAAATAAATTGGATTTGCTATACTTTTCTTCCCATTTACTTTAAATAAGTTTTTACGCAAAATTATTAGCGGGAAGGATAAAGTGGTTTTATGCTGACATTCTGGATAGCTCTAGGGTTCTGCCTGACTATTGGAAAGTTTTCGATTTTTGTAAATATTTTTAGTTTTATGTAAACTTTTAAAAGCACCGCTCTCACAGTACATTTTCCCTAAAATTATTAATACAAAACATTTAAAATTCCGACATTCTTATTCAAAGTAGTTATTTTTTTAATTTGGAAATTTTCAATTATTCAAACAGTAATAAAAATATTATGGGCAGTGGGCTTTCAGATTGTGCATTTTTAACGACTAAAGTGATACAGTTAAACAACGTTTTTTGTTAGGAATATCTTTACAATAGAGAAATTCGACAACATCGTCAATTTCTTCCAAAAAGTTTGTGGGTTGGGAAAATTAATTCTCTACGTACAATGTTGACATTTAACTAGTAAAGTCACAACTTTAAAAGTTTCCAATGCTGTATTTTCCGCAAAAGAAAGTGATCTAAATATTGGGAAAGAACTATTGAAAAGAAAGTTGTTTATAATGATAATAAAATTCTATTTTGTACTAAAATTATTTTTTTAAGATGAAATTTAGCAGAAACAAAAATATTTTGAATAAAAACGCCGTCATTAAAAAATATATGAAGCTTTTCAATATTTTCTTAATACAGGATGTCCCAAATAGTTCTATACAAATGGGAAAAGTTTAGTTTACATTTCACAAAAAAATATTCTTGATAAAAAGTTCTGCATCACATCAAATGTTGTAAAATACTTTTAAATTTCAATATAGATCATCAAACTTATTGATGAAAAATGTTGATAGGAATTTAAAAAATATGCCAAAGGACCAGGCATTATGGAAAAATGGATTTCCGTCAAATTTTCTGAAATGTTTTAGAACTTGACGTTCTGACAAAGTGTCCATTCGCCCAAACTGATTCTATGACAAGTTTTCGAGGTAAAGGGTGTTAAACATCGAAAATGACACTTTTTGTAAGCATATTACTCATAACACATCTGTTTTATTCGAGTTTGTTGTAGAAAACATGAATTATAGATTATTTGACTGCAATATTTTATAAAAAGTTACTGTATAAATTGGTTAATTACAAAGTGTTTCGGAAATAAAAAATATGTTTTTTTTTTTTTTGAAAATATGAACAATTATTATTGTACCATGAAAATATAGTCTAGGTAATTGCTTCTTGATGATACATCATATTTTATACAGGGTGACTCATAAAAAGTGGCGGCTGGTGAGGAGGGGGCGGGGGCGCCGCCCTCCCTACGAGGTAGGTTAGATTTAATTAGGACTATGGGCCATGTGGCCTCCCCCACCTCGACCTTTTCAGATCTATTGTGGATATCCTTTAATCATTGTTTAGAGTACCTTGTCTAATGCGGTCTTTTGTAGTAGACTCCATAGACTGGGAAGTAGTTCTCCGGTATAGCTAGTTGCCCTTGGTT